CAATATATTGAGAAAAAGAAATACCTAAAGAACTAGAGAATGCTGGAGGCGCATTTTGGCTCTGTCCTCACAGTCGCCAGCTCTACAAAGAGTAAGACTACAGTCCATTTCCAGCGAAAATGACACCGATGCATTATAAATGTCAACAGAAGGTAGAAGAAATGTTTGAAAAGTGACACCGTTATAGAAAATATCAAAGAAATATCTGCCAAACGTAGGTGTGCATAGAGGAGAATACATCAATGGAGAAAACAGCCAGGATGCACGGACAGGAATGTATAATTCACATCAACTATCTAGCATAAATATCACAACAATCCCTCTTCTCCTGTTCATGACCTAGGTCGATTTCTTGGTCGGACCATGTGGGTCAAGATGTGGTTTTGACCTGACGCCGCCTGTATAGTGAGTGAGTGAGTGTGTATGCTTTTACGCCGCTCTTAGCAATATTCCAGCAATTTTACGGCGGAGGATACCAAAAAAGGGCTTCTCACATTGTACCTATGTGGGGAATCGAGCCAGGATCTTCGGCGTGACGAGAGAACGCTTTAACCACAAGGCTACCCATTGCCCCCGTTTGTATAGTATGAAAATGTATGATGTTGTCCTGATGTCGCCTGTGTAGTATGAAAGAAAGGTGGTATTTCCATAATGTCGTCTGTGTAGTATTAATCTGTATGTTGCGCTAATTTCGTCTGTATAGTATGAAAATATATGGTGTTGCCCTAATATCGTCAGTATAGTAAGAAAATGTATGGTGTTGACTTAACGCCGTCTGTAGAGTATGAAAGATATATGTTGTTGCCCAAATGCCGTCTAAATAGTACTAAAATTACATTGGTCTAATGTCGTCTATACAGTATGACAATATATGACATAGACCTAACGCCTTCTTTATATTGTTGCTCTAATGTCGTCTGTAGAGTATGACAATATATGACATAGACCTAACGCCTTCTATATATTGTTGCTCTAATGTCGTCTGTAGAGTATGACAATATATGACATAGACCTAACGCCTTCTATATATTGTTGCTCTAATGTCGTCTGTAGAGTATGACAATATATGACATAGACCTACCGCCTTCTATATATTGTTGCTCTAATGTCGTCTGTAGAGTATGACAATATATGACATAGACCTAACGCCTTCTATATATTGTTGCTCTAATGTCGTCTGTAGAGTATGACAATTTATGACATAGACCTAACGCCTTCTATATATCGTTGCTCTTATGTCGTCTGTAGAGTATGACAATATATGACAAAGACCTAACGCCTTCTATATATTGTTGCTCTAATGTCGTCTGTAGAGTATGACAATTTATGACATAGACCTAACGCCTTCTATATATCGTTGCTCTAATGTCGTCTGTAGAGTATGACAATATATGACATAGACCTACCGCCTTCTATATATTGTTGCTCTAATGTCGTCTGTACAGTATGACAATATATGACATAGACCTAACGCCTTCTATATATTGTTGCTCTAATGTCGTCTGTAGAGTATGACAATTTATGATGTTGTCCTAATGTAAAGTAGACATTTTTTGGCTAAAAGGGCAACGCAAATCTTTGACGTTAGGGCAACCATATATATAATCAGTGTAAGTATGTATGAATAATGACAACGTTAGTATGTTAAATATATTGAAGCGAAATTGTAATATCATTTCTGGTAGTAGAAAACGGGTACCATGTCTGGTATATATACTCAAAAGCCAACAACTGCAATCAGGTACTTTGTTAAAGATATTAAAGAAACACGTAAACAAAAAGCTTCTATTTTCAGACTGATGTCAGGTATGAGAACCTGTGATTGTCCTAAACTTACGTTTGCGGAACACGTTCTAGATTAAAAAGCAGGCCGATATATACATACACCATACAATACACAACACAATGAATAATCTCCAAAGGACTAAAAACCGACATTTGTCATTCGTGAAGTAATCAACGTACTAGTTTTTTAAAAACCAAAAGCATTTTTAAATGTTTGAACTCAATATTTAAACCTGTTTCACAACGAAAATATATTCATATTTCAAGTGTACATTGCAACATACGAGGCGTTCAATAAGTTTTGCAACTTCAATATAAGACCAAGTCGTAGAATATCTTTCGTACTTTTATTTTTCAAAATAATCTTCATTTATCTTAGTACGCTTATTCCATTTGTCCTTCAAGCTTTTAATACCACTTTATAGAAATCCGCAGATTGGCCATCTAACCACGCCTCTGTGGCAGCCTTTATGTCCTCGTCATCCTGGAAGCGTCTTCCACGTTGGGCAGATGTCATTTCCCGGTACAGGAAATAGTCACTGGGGGCTAAGTCTGGGCTGTAGGGTGGGTGATTTAACTGTACAGCCCAGACTTAGCCCCCAGTGACTATTTCCTGGCGTGGTTAGAGCGCCAATCTGTGGATTTCTATAAAAGTGGACTTGGTCTTATAATGAAGTTGCAAAACTTATTGAACGCCCCTCGTATGTACCATACGAAATGAAAGCTCAGATGACAAGTATAGACTAGAACGATATTGTGTATGAAACCAGTACCGTAACGACTGTGATTGTGCAAATGTCATTGAACATGTATATGATATATAACAATCATCAATAATAAACAACACACGTATCTCTTTTATCTTAGATAAAATTCAAGTATCAAGTTTAACTTATGGTAATGGAGGTTGAAGGTTCAAGCAAAGGAGACCATTTAATGCGTATATAGAATTATTTGTAAATGTGTTACGAATCATTATGTATCTTACACATGACCTAATTCAATTACGTGGTTTGTAAAATGTCCAAATATTCGTATGTTCCGTGAAGCTCAACTTGTCTCTTTCCGTCAAACTCGAATGAAATTATTTTTCCCTTTTCCTTACACGTTGAACATACTTAACTAAATTAAGTGAATTAGCATTTTCCGATTGAACTACATCCATAAATAAACATCACCGGGTAATGTGTTTCTATTAGTTTATCAAAGAAAATATGTTGTTATGGGGAATCTTTTCTCGTTAAAGCGTAATATTGAGTCAATTACTCATGCCAATTGTCAACATGCTAAATCGAAAGTCTGTATTGATATTTCGAAAACGAGTGATACGTTAAATTATAATGGCGCCGTATTATCACCCATCAACATTATTTAATTATTTCACTTATCTCAAATCTCAAAAATGATGCGCATTTCTGAAAACATAAATGGCGAACACAGCCAGGGACGACATTTACCATATGCTATATGTCATTAGCCAGACAACGTGTTGCGTTCAGTTAACACAGTCGGCAACAGCTAAAATTAAGAACTACTTCTAAAACGCCAGTGTTATGAAAAATCAATATTTATGCTTGTATAACTCAATCAAAGTCATGGAATATCCATTTCCAAATCGTCAAAAAAAATATCATTAACATATATACCTAAATGATAGATGACCTACATTTGAGCGTGGTTCGTTATAAAGGGTTCTGTGTTCACTTCGTTTACCAGCGTAGTGAGTCAGATGCTATCGTTTGTATTCAGGACTGATCAATATACATGTACGTGCAGTGGTCTCCAGCTGTGACAAATTCTAGGGGACGTTCAGAATCAGTTCGTATAATCCGAAGTTCCTTTTTTACATGTTGTGCATTATGCATAGCCCAACGAAATAACTCCATGTTCAGGTATTGCATGGGTCAAATCGTCAATGTGTGTATGATAACTATGTCCAGACACATGCCAAACTGTATCTGTTAAACATCCATATAGGAATCATTTTAGAAGCGTTATCTATAGGCAGAAAGTAACACAAAGTACCGTTTTTTTTGTAAAACACGTATATGTATGTTGCCCATGAATACCGTTGTATGGCAGGAGATGTTGTTATTGCCACATTTGTGACAACTGCCAGTGGCAGTAAATGACTGAAACGCTAGTAAAATGGCTCTGGGGACAAGATTTGAACGGAAAGTGTGATTAGTGCCACCGCGCCTGATTGCTGTTGACAAACTTATGATCGTTCGTGAAGTTTCAATATTGGACATTTCCTGCTGCTGTATACAACACAATGCCCTCAAATCGATAACTATCATGACATATATTAATGGGTACCTAGTGCTATACCACGTGTGCAGTCCGGGCTAATAATAAATGTTAGGGATGTCATTGTTTGTGTGTGTTTGTATTATATATATGAGGCAAATGTTCACTCTGTGTACATGTAATATATAATAAAATAATAAAGTCCACGTTAGTCCAACATCTTCTTTATATCAGTTTCTGACAAAATAATAAAAAAACATTTTATTATATATATATATATATATATAAAATAAAATAATAAACTCAACGTTAATCCAACATCTTCTTCAAATCAGTTTCAGACAGAGTCCTTTTACTGTCTCATATATATATATATATATATATAGAGAGAGAGAGAGAGAGAGAGAGAGAGAGAGAGAGAGAGAGAGAGAGAGATATATATAGATATAGATATAGATATATAGATATTGTTTGATAGGCATTACTTATAAGTTGACGGATAGCAAGATAGACACATTTTTTTATGGATAACAACTTCTTTAATACAGTATTAAAGAAGTTGTTATCCATAAAAATTGTGTCTATCTTATATATATATATATATATGCAAACTTGGTACAGCACTAGGGAACCATTTCTATACGTAATATATAATTTATCTAGTTTGGTACAACCTCAATTTGCACTTGCAAACGTGAATCCAACAAGAAATGATGTGTACAGGCCGAGAATCATAACAGCCACCAGTGTCTCCTTTCATGGAAGAGTATGGGTAGCTCTTGAATTTCCTCGCAATCACCCGCACCCCCGATCTTGTTTCAGTGTTCATACTTTCAGCCTCTCGTTTGTCAAGTTCATTATCGATTACTAACAGACTTCCTTGATATATTTGTGATATTGGTGACTGCGGCGTTTTGTAAAATTCACTCAGACATACAGCGCTTATTATGCTGATACCAATCCACTGAGATGAAATGTTTATTGAATATTGAATAACGAATTAAATCAAATCACATTTCAATTAGATGACCAAGCTTGTGGTTTTCTGTTCACGGAATGATGTAGAAGAAATGATCCAGAAATGAGAGTAGTGACGAATGGCATGCTGGCACTACACTTGTCTATGCTGATGGTACATCCGAGTCGCTATCACATATCGCCCTGAGATGAAACGTCTCCTCTTCGTTTCCTGGACGGACACAGGCATCATGGCTTGCATCAGACGTTTGTTTGGTGCTGCAATGAGAGTTATGCGTTTTCATTTACTTATTTCCGTAAGGATCCTGGTTAGAATGAATCCCATGCAATCCAAGCTTGGATCAAGAGGCGACCATTTGAATCGAGTCAGGCTCGATATATATATTTATAGCCATTATGTATCTTACACATGACCTAATTCAATTACGTAGTTTGTAAAATGTCCATTAAAAATATTCGTATGTTCCGTGAAGCTCAACGTGTCTCTTTCCGTCAAACTCGAATGAAATTATTTTCCCCTTTTTCTTACTCTTTGAAGATACCTACGTATTCCTTATTCCGTATGAAACATAATTTCTAAACCAACTCTCAACACTGATATCATCGCCCGAAATGGTATAGAAGAAGCTAACTTGCCTCTGTCCCACGTGTCTCATTGTATCACCATGCATAGATCAATGACAGCCTAACACAAAGGTAATGGCCTATTGGTTATGTTCAACAACGTCATAAATTGTCTTCCTATTGAGATGACGTAGCCCAACGAAATAACTCCATTTTCAGTGTCGGTATTGCATGGGTCAAATCGCCAATGTGTGTATTATAACACATTTATACATACAAGACGCCAACAGATTACAGTTTACAATCAAATGTGTTCAACAGATCACGTAGAATGTTTGAGGATATTTCAAAAGCAATTGCATTTGGTGGTTAAATAATTTCTGACGATATCCATAAACTCGAGCTATCGTTTGAAATGTATCGTACGGCAGAGTACATCGTAAGTTTATTTCTTATGATTGTAATTAGAGTGTCCTCACTTAATTGTTTACATTCCAAGCTTCGCCCCAGTTGTCGATGAACTTCTTTGAGAGAAATACGTGAGGCTTCGCGAGGTAACCTTTCACTGTATGTTTCCCATAGGATCTGAAACGTGGGGTAACTCAACACGGCATATGTAAATGTAATTTGGTCGTTCCTATGACCTCAAGTTGTAAAGATTCTACTCTATGTCTTCATCATTATGACATGCTAAGCACCCGTGAAGAGGGCTCATGTTTTTTCATCAGCATGCCCTTAACTTATGGCGGGGACACGGGTAGCCCAGTCGTCTAAGGCGCCGCGATTCGCTGTGCAGAGTTGCGCCCCTTGGGCTCGCCAGAAACCTATGATTGTGGGTTCGAATCCCGGCTCGAATCCCGGTTCGCCCCGATTATCTTTCTAGGTTTGTCAGCGCCATACCCGTCCTCGTGGGTTTCACCGAAGTGGTAAACGTCCGAGACCTGCATCACTTCGGGCTTTCCTCCCACCCCACATTAAGCTGACACGCCGTGATATAACTGGAATACTGTTAAAAGCGGCGTTCAACCCAACTCACTTACATTACTCACTCACTTTAACTTATGGCAGTTACCTCCTCATCTTTTCAGCATCTTCGATGGACTCTGGAAGTTCTCTGTTGAGCGTCTCTGGTAGGAGGAGGGCCAGAAGACCAGCCCCAACCATCGAAACCCCGAAAATGATCAATGGAACAGCTCGTCCAAAGTCACCTGGAATTACCATCGCCTGAAAAGGTAAATACATAAGCACTGTAACAGCGTCAGTCAGATTACGCTTATCCGTTAATTCGTAAACATCATGTTAGGTAAAGCGGATTAATTAACTTACCAGGTTGGCGATATATGGTGATATGACTCCACCTAGTCTGCCACATATATTGGCCACACCCATTACGGAGTTCCTGATGACGGTTGGGAACAGCTCAGATGAGTACAGCCAGATGACTGCAAAGCTTGCAGATACGAAAGCCCGACCCACTAGTGCCAGAGTTATCGTAAGCCAGGTCAAACCTGAAGAAAATTGAATTTATGGAACATAACATATCTTCATAACGCCGCAGGAAGCAATATTCTAACTATGCTACGGTGGCCTGTAAATTAACCGAAGCTTGGCCAAACACACCAGTGGTTGAATTAATATTACAACGAGGGGAAACTGATACAAACGAAAACGTTAATAAAACAGAAGCTGTTTTTTAGAACTCTACATCTCGACATTCATAAGCTATGGGTCAAGAGTCTTCTGAGAACGTTTTACCTCCAGATCCATACAGGACAGGCAGGATTGTGGCGGTGCAGCAGATGCCACCAAGAATCATGGACGCACAATGTAGGGACTTCCTGCCGATGCGGTCCAGAAGGAGAATGCAGACGATGTAGGAGACGAATTCCGTTCCTCCCGCGACCAGGCCGTTGATGTAGACGCTGCCACCGAGATTTGCCACATTGAGGCCTAGACCGTAATATCCGAGACTACACACAAGCCTGAACATGAACAAACAGCATAAATTCGAGGATAATTTTTTATGAATCAATAAAGCAGATGATATAATTGTTAATAAGCGCGACATATAATAGGGGCATGAGTACCCCGGTCACTGGATCAGTGCGCACTTAAGAATCATTCTCAGCTCCGTGGGGAGTATACAATCCAAGCTGTCTGTGAGGCGCTGAAAGGTTAACAACCACATTGCCATCTCATCCTACCTACATACAAGTTTCATATCACAACGGAGGACAATAGAAATGGACTACACAATTTGAAACGACGTGTGAAATCGAAAACTGCTTTTTAAGGTGATAAAAGCATTAAACAATCGGCTACCTGACTGCTCCTGATTATTCCCAAACTGTATGCTGATATGGTATGATGCATCAAAGTCCTTTAAGCGTACATTATCGATTCTGGATACTAGTGTGAAAATAACTAGCCAACAAACAAAGACAATAAACAGGATAGGATGAGGCAAATCGACAAGCAAAACAGAGTGTGTAATGTGTATCGAGATCACAGGAGATAATTATCGAATTGACCAACATGAAGGGTCATTTTAGCTCGGTAATATCAAGAACGGCATGCATCTTTTCCAAACGAAATGCCAGTCTTAAATACATTCGAAAATGATTCCTTTGTGTTTGTATTCGGGGTTAATGTCTGACTTCTCACAGGTCAATTTATACTCCAAAATGCAATGTGATAAATTACCAATATTGTGGAGTGAGTGAGATTGGTTTTACGCCACCTTAAGCCATATTCGAGCAATATCATGTCGGGGGAGACCAGAAATAGGCTTCACACGTTGTACCCATTTGGGAATCGAACCCGGGTCTTCGGCGTGACGAGCGAATGCATTGACCACCAGGCTACTCCGCCGCACCAACTATTTTGGAACCCACCAGCAGTGGTAAAATGCAAATGATAAGGGACGCCAAGGGGCGCAGTGTATGGTTGCGCCGTTTGTCAGGGAATCAGCCTTGTTTCCACTGTGTCCAGCAGACGGCTGTGGGAGGAAAGGTGGAGAAGGCGAGGAAGGTCATAGGAAACCCAAGAACACGGGGATGCAGTGACAGAAAGATGATCGTAATAGGGAAGAAAATTGGATGCGAGCACACAACAAGCTAAGAAACGCAAATATGCACCGCGTAGCGAGTTGTGGCGCGGTGATCACAGGGGCACCTAAGTTTAAACTGTAGAAATAGTTGAAACATACCAGTTGAGGAAAACGATTACACATCGTGCTACCAGGGTAAGGCTGGTGAATATTTTCCATATAGATTCTGATTTTGTACTGTCGAGTACATTTCCACTGAACAGGTCAGAGGTCAACGTCACTTTGTTGACTTTTGCAGCATGGCGTAAAATTGTCTCCGCCATCTCATATTTCCTCTTGGTGATCAGCCAACGGGGAGATTCGGGAATAAACCTGAAGGTGATGGATAAACAGGCTAATGATTAAAATATTCTAAAGTAATTAACTATTAACAATTTACACATGTTTGTTGTTGAGTGAGTGATTTATACACATATAGGAGGAAGTATGTTAAAATAGGAAACTGCCATCATAGAAATTACTCCTCATCCCTTCATCAAAACGCAGACTGGCGTTTAAACTGTGAGTGTGAATGTTCTTTAAAGCCACAATCAGCTATATTTTTACAGCGGCCTATAAATGATCATCTTTCCGAGGCAAGAGAGTTTACTGACTATAAAAGTCTAGTTCCACCTTTGCCGAACTATGCTGGAATCCATGGGCTCGATCGTAGCGCCACCAGTGGCTATTACGAGTTATGTCCCTTCTATGCCTCTCCTACGGACCAATCAGATTCCACCTCTCGTATCACTTGCATTTGCCTCAAACAAAATGGCGGCGCCCAGTCAAGACGATATGATCGATAATTAAGAAAGATCTATATTAGGATACAACAGGTCTTACATCGCGAAGTGCATCAAATCACATGAGCACCTTCATTAAGAACATGAAAAGATTTGGAAAATATCTGTTGACAAATAGTTGGCGGTGCACATGCTTTGCAAATAATGCAATCGACCGAAATCTGCATGACAGTTTACGAACCGGACTTTAATTTCGATGCGCGATTGTGATTGGACTATGCATATACTCGTCAGTCCAGCCAAAATGTAACTCATAATACCAACCTAGTTCGGCAAGGGTGGAAACTGGACTTTTATCATCAGTGAACACACTTGCCTAGGGAAGATGATAAATGATCGATTCTGAACCAGGCAACCATGAAAGTAATAAGCCACCTTATCAGAACAGGATTACAAACGACCAGGTCACAGAGCCTGATCATACGATCCATTTCTCTGGGACCCCTCCGTAGATAAGTGGTGTAACCTAGACCGGAGAGCGGAAGGTCTTGGGTTCGATCTCCGGCCGCGTCATACCAAAAGACGTTAAAAGATGTTACATGTTGTTAGCCTTCATTGCCCTCGGCATTAATGGGCTCGGCTAGGAGCCAGTATTCTTTGTCTGTGTGGGGTATTCATGTTCAACTACAGCATGGTACCTCAATGGGCTAACACTATCAAATCGACATGGTATCTAAGCGGGATAGCACTATAAAATTAGTCCGGACTAGTACAATCGCCACACGCATAAATGTGACTAAAGTACATCTGAGACTATAGTCTATCTAAGATCTACTTTACCCCCGAAGTACCTTCCATGTCACCATTGCAAAACTACACTTACCAGTAGTAAGCTAGGAAAAGAACTGTTGGTGCCGACACAACGAGTTGTAGATGTTGCCAGTCTCGGATAAAGTAGGCGGCGGCAACGGCGATAAAGTAACCCGAGGACCAGAAGAATTCAACAATGATACCTGCCCATCGACGCTTGGAAGGGCCAACTAGCTCCACACCTGGAATAATAACCTGGGCCATAGAAACAGAATCCGGAAAGCACAGGCGCGAGTTACCTTGACTGCGGTTGAAGATCAGTACGAAATTCGGGTGCGTATTATATACTCAAAACAGTGTCAAGAACACCCACATTTGGGAAGCTGTGGGTTGCGAAATGTGTGACACCACCAATCATGGTTATTCTTTTGTGTATAAAAGGTAGGGAGAAATTATACATACAGATATGACACCATTGTTCACCCTTATGCGAAACATTACATCAAAGAATTAATCAAATCGTTTACCCACAACAAAGCCGTTCATCCAGATCGCTGTGCTCGACATGCCGTTGAAGAACATTAGGAAGGCGAAGACGGCAAAACTTGTGGCGAATGAGATGGAGATGGAGGCCACAATGTGAAAGAGGACGCCCACCATAAACATCTTCTTTCTACCAATGCTGGGGAAAGTATTCACAGAGAATGTAGTTTTAGATGATTAAAGGGACATAGGGATGTTGTTCACTCATTTACCCCTGGAAGGCGTGCTTCTTTAGAGTGGCATTACTGATGATCGACCATATACTTACAAATCCGCCGGAGGAGCGATAACAGCACATCCCACCAGGGACCCAAGCATAAACATCATCTGTACGTGGGACTTGTACATCTTCACGTCACACACCCAGTCAAACTAGAACGGAGGGATAGAGTGTCTCAAATTTAAGGCTAAATGTCAGCTCAATGTTGTATGAAATCCCATAGGAATCAGTTCGATGACGTTTATCACTCAGTGAAACCAAGGAAGCACGAGTGTTGTGCTGAAAATTTAAGATCATTATCATGGCAACTTGGGATTGAACTAAAGGTCAGTAAATCCTGGCACGACTAACATGCGCAACTGTTCACAGCCAGTTATTTGCCTCAATGCAAAGTTAAGCCTCAATGTTGTCCATAAACCTTGGTCCCTCCAATATACCTATGCTCACGGGTTTCATCAAAGAGGCAAACGACTACGACCTGATTATCTACAGGTCAGATGTGTCGACGTGTCAAGAAATGACTCTCTCTCTCTCTCTCTCTCTCTCTCTCTCTCTCTCTCTCTCTCTCTCTCTCTCTCTCTCTCTCTCTCTCTCTCTCACTCTCTCTCTCTCTCTCTCTCTCTCTCTCTCTCAACACACTGAAATAAATTGTACTCTTTTACTTCCATACATGATGGATATATATTACTCAGAAAAAAACAATACCCTTGTCACGATGTTCGAGCCAAACGTCTCTTCATCATAAACCAATCGGTTACACGTGTGGGTTGAGTTGGTGTATTCTTCGCCACCCGTCTTTGAGTTATTGATGACGTCATATACGTGGCATGACGAATAGAGTTGTGTCCCTTTGTCTGCTATTGGAATGGCGGCGTTGACTGCACGTGCATGCTGCTCCCTTTGTATCGGATAGGTGTCGTTGTCTAAACCAGGAACTGCACACCTACAACAAAATATGCTAGGACGAACACGTTTTGACGACATGCTTTTGTTAGCCACAGGAAACCCAGGCTGGATCAGTAAGGCCAATCAATTTTTGACGGATGGTCGAAATAATGCACAAAAGAAAAACTATATTTTTTAACGTATGGCCGGTAGGAAGCGATGAATTACAAATTAGAACAAATAATAGTGTTTATAGGACAACAAAGACACAATTTTGGAGGTTAGGTGTGGTGAAATAGGGATACCGATACATGTGAGTGGCTCCTTGATCTAGTAGGGACTATAGCTAGTGCTGGTTCACTGAGATATCATGCCGCAGTTTAACATGAATACACCACTTAGACACTGTATTCTGACTCCAAACGGACCAGTCCTTGTTTTAGCCTCTGAATGCCGTGCGTCAGGCAGGGTAACAACAAGTACCATCTTTTAACGTCTTTTGATATGACGCGGTCGGGAATGGAACCCCGGACAAACCCACGGAGGCGGTCCACACGCTTGAAGTACTGTGAAGGTGTTAGTGGTATTTGAGCAAAGTCGGGAAAAAAGTTATTTCTAAATACACCAGTCTCGACATTAATACCAATGCTTTAAACAGAGTTCTCTTTCACAATGGAGACAGCGTATTGAAAAATAAGTCCAATTCAGTTCTTGCAAAACTGAAGAACCACCTCTTTACTATGGCTTTAATAATAGTTTATTCCTTCAAAATCATCATCATCATCATCATCATCATCATCATCATCATGTTGGACTATTATTACTACTATTTTTATTATTGTTATTATTATCATTAAAACACGAAGCAGCTTATATATAAGGAACCTAAGCAATCCTTCTTCACCGCTCACACGTAAACAGCAGCTCTCCAGAAAATGACATAGTTGCAACCTTCTGCACGTTTTCTCTGATACCAGTATAGCGCGAACACCTTTCACTGACACGCCTGTGATCAACTGTGAACATTTTTACTTCAGTATCACGAAATGATAGTGATACAGCGCCCGCCCGGAGAGCAAAAGGTTCGATCCCCTCCCGCTTTGCCAAAAGACGTCAAGAGATGGTACCCTACCCTAGTACCCTGCCTGGCGCTCGGCATTAAGGGGCTAACACAAGTATACTGTGTCTGAGTGAAGTATTCATGTTAAAATGCGGCATGGTATCTCACCGGGTTAGCACTATAAAATAGGCATTACTCTCACTAGTACAAGCATACACACACACGTGCATGTGGTGATTGGCAGTAATAACGGTGTTGTATATGACACAAGAATAACAAGTCATTGAGCTCCTCCTCAAAACCGGAAGTTAGGTTTTGTTGTCTCCTTAGTGCGTGTTGACGGAAACATAAATTCTTTACGATACATTGAGGCCACTGTCAGTAATGTGTGGCATGTAACGGCCAGACCGTGTGAAAGATCCTTTACCTGGAAATATAAGATAGCAGCGCGATAAATCGCAAAGAACAATGAAGCACGAAGTGAGGTTTATTTCGCGATAAAACATTGTTCTATCATGACGTCATTTCTGGATATTCTGGTGAGAATATGCGGCATATACCCATCAGGGCATAAAATGGACTTGTCCAACATTACCGAGGTCGGATTTCATTGAGGGAGTCATTATTCTTAGCATAAGGGTAAATATCATCAAATGTAGTACATCAGACAAACGATCTATGGTTTCAGCAGCTTTAACAATAAGGTCTCTTTATACGCTGGTAGTACTAACGGTTAACAAGGGCATGTCAGAGACTGTGAGAGAGGCTATGGGCTGTTTCAGGCGTGACCAAGTGTGTCCAGAGCTGGTCCTAGTGTGCTGGCCTTCTGAGCGATGAGTCGACTGTTAGCTGTTTGCTGTTGGCTCATGTTAGCGAGTTACATGGATTCACCAAGTCTACGAAGAGACTGTGCAGAGTTGCGTCCCTTGGGCACGCCAGAAACCGTTGATTGTGGATTCGAATCCCGGTTCGCCCGAATTACGTTTCTAGGTTTGTCCGCACCATACCCGTGCTCGTGGATGTCACCGAAGTGGTAAATGTCTTAGACCTGCATCACTTCGGGCTTCCCTCCCACATTAAGCTGACACGCCGCAATAGAACTGAAATACTGTTAAAAGCGGCCTTAAACCCAACTCACTCACTCACTCACTCATCTTTGTCGTGCTATTTCAAGACTGCAACGGGGTATTGTGATTTGGGGAAAGTAAACTAAACAAACGAACCTATCTTAGTGTTGTAATCACTTGTAATCCTTGAGTCCAATATGGGGTCATCCTGGTTATTTTCGTTACTATTGTCGATCACGGGTAGGGGTTCACTTGTACTTCTTCTGAAATCACGAATTCCTCTTCCGTGAAGCATTCATGATCACATTCCGTGTTTACTCTAAAACTATTGTCACTGTCAGAAGCGGACATATCGGCAAGTTGTGATCAGGATAGCGCAAAAAGAAACGACGTAAGCAGGGTCGATGCTTCATCATTGTAAACACAGATCAGGGAATATTTTAAACACAGAAAAGTCTCATAACAAAATAAATGAAATTACCGAGACGCGAATAATAAACGTAAAAGAAGAAACAGTATGTTTCACACATTATTTTGTCACCGAATAGTGAACTCAATTTGTGATGTAAATGGTCTTAGTCACATTTTCGTTGTTGAAGCAAAGATGATCATATTTTAAATGCTTTTATCCCGTTCATACGAGGAAAGTAGAGCGTACAAATGATCATTGTTTATTTGTGGATACGAGAATATCTGCAAGCTGAAAAGGGGTGATGAAAACGCTTGCTTTGCCGTGAACGTGCGCAGCCGACCATGACCGTGAACGGATGCTTGCTTGTTTGAGTGCGAACAGGATGGGCGGGCTTGTGCAATCAAGCATGTCATTTTGGAGGACATTACTTCCATCATGGCCATATCTGAGCCTTCTGCCTCCGCTGTATTTTTGTTTCAGCCTTTGAAATTGATAGACAGGACTAAAGTGCAAATAAACCTTATCTAAGAACCGCTTTCGATGTTTGGATACGATATTTGCATTAGCGATATTATAATTACGGTCTATCAAATTCTGCAAGGACTATCAAGGACTGTTGGGACGTTAACCAGTTGCGGTGTTGACATAGGAACTCTTGGGAAAACCTGAGGTCGTGTACACACAGTTCGCCAGACCTACTCCAAATATATATGGTCAGTTTGACTTGGCATATCTGTGGAGGATATCATGTTCTGGTAAGCTTGCTTGGCAACGTTTTTCGGTCTACCCCGACCAGGAAATGTCCTGCTGAAAGGTGAACTTGACCCTTCCAAATAGTTTTGAATGATAGCGCTGTTCCCTGGTTCTGATCAGGCTCAGCTATACTAGAACAATCCAGTTTCGTCAACGCTCTGCAACCTTATACAGATCAGGTGTACATCATCAGCTCTTAAAAATGACAATGACACAAACGAAGGAGCTCGAGTCTGGCATTCTTCCTCCTTTCCAAAGTATGGTCTCATAAACTCGGTTTACAAGAAATTTCAAATTCTGTGTGGTCATTGCAGAACTAAACTCAGATAATTAGGCTGGACGCTCCTTCCGTAGAGGCGGGGCATGTTGGGCATGATTGCGAGGAAATTAAGATGATGGCCACAGGTCTTCAAATATATTTAAAGATACTGTCAAACTGGACAGACATGTGTCTATGTCTTTGCGCTAAGGGATATGCCTTCCCGAGCAAACTTAGCATATGATAACTGCAGTTTCTGTTTAACATCTCAAATCTGGCTTAGCCCAACCTGTACCTTTGTATATCGCTCGTATTTTACATGTCCATATATAGGAATCAAAACTGTGATCAAGTGCGCCCAATGCGAACATGGACGTCAATGTAACATTTTACCAGTGATAAAGTATATCCTGTTTGAAGACGAAGTTTACCTGTGATCCGGGACGCCGAGTGTGAAGACGGTTATCATGATCTGTATTCCCAAGGACACCATCGGAATACAGAGGAGGACATACAGCCTCTTCTGGTAGGTTCCAAACTCCCCAAGGTCTTTCAGAATGTCATCATACTTCATAATGGGTCTGGATTCATTCGAAAATTATGAAAAAAGGTAATGTGACAATAAATGTACAATTAACAGTAGGAGGTACGAAATATAATTTGTTATTTTTTAGTAGAGCAGTATGAAGGTCCGTTGTCGTGTACTCACTCTCGTGACCTCTGGTCTGTTTTGTATAATACGGTAAAGTAAATCTATTGACCAAATATGAAATAAATGCGAAAGCGACTGTTAAAGAAAAACAGTTAATAAAATGGAGTTTCTAATAATACACTTATGCTTATGACATGTATTACATGCTGAAGTCGAATGTCGATATCATGAAGATTTTCTACTTGATGAGATTGACCATTACTGACTCAGAAATCCACAAGGCTATAAATCGTTTAAAGAATGGCACATCCCCTGGTGTTGATGACGTGGTCATTGAAATGTTAAAATGTCATAACTCCTTTCCTACGAAATTTGTTCAATAAGTTGTTTGATTCTGAATTATTTCCTGACATTTGGACGAAAGCTATCATCCTTCCTCTACATAAGAAAGATAACAAAAATAATGTAGATAACTTCAGAGGGATATTTATATTGTGTACAATTAGTAAGGTTTACACACGTATCTTAAACTCTAGACTTACAAACTTGGCTTACATAAGAAGTAAACTACCCGAAACACAAGCAGGCTTTAGACAGGGATATTCTCCTGCTGATCACATATTCACGTTGAATACAATTGTTAAAAACAGTTTATCGAAAAGACAAAGGAAATTATACGTTGTTTTGTTGATTTTTTAAAAAAGCGTTTGATTCAGTAAACCACCTTAAGCTATGGGGGTGTCTGCTCGATGTAGGCTTGGGTGGAAAGATGATGAGAGCACTTAAGGGAATCTATGCCTCCGTGAGAGCGTGTGTGAGATGTAATGATAACATTTATACAGAATATTTTGATTGTCCTAAAGGAGTTAAACAAGGCTGTATATATAAGGGCTCTATTATTTTCCTTGTTCATCAATGAACTGTCAAATGGTGTTTCATCACATGGGAAACACGGCGTTCAATTATTTCCAGACTTGTTTGAAAAATTATTTTCATTGTTTACCGATGATGTTATTCTTGTCTCTGACACAGTAACTGGTTTACAGAACCAGCTTAATATTCTTGAAAAGTTTACAGATTCACAAGGATTAACGATAAATTTAGATAATTTAGATAGTAAAGTCCTACGTAGAAGATACTAAGTCCTACGTAGGAGATACTAAGTCCTACGTAGAAGATACTAAGTCCTACGTAGAAGATACTAAGTCCTACGTAGGAGACACTAAGTCCTACGTAGTGGTAGTTGTGTTGGTAGTTATAGTGTAGTAGCAGTAGAAGTAGTAGGAATATTAGTAGTAGTAGTAGTTGTAGTAGTAGTAGTAGAAGTATAGTAATAGTAATAGCAGTAGTAGTAGAAGCAGCAGTAGTAATAGCAGTAGTAGTGGTGGTAGTAGTAGTGGTAGTAGTAATAGTGGAAGAAGTAGTCGTAGTCGTAGTTGTAGCAGCGATAGCAGTAGTGGTATTACTAGTAGTAGCAGAAATAGTTGTAGCAGTATTAGTGGTAGTAGTAGTAGCAGTAGCAATAGTAGTAGTAGTAGAAGTAGAAATAGTAGTAGTAGTAGTAGTAGTAGTAGGAGTAGTAGTAGTAGTAGTAGTAGTAGTAGTAGTAGTAGAAGTAGTAGTAGCAGTAGTTGAAGTAGTAGAAGATCCCAATCAACATTTTAAATTAAAAACGTATTTCATTCTGGCACCTAAATACATGCGAAAACGACCAGTCACATACTATGAAAAAGGTATTCCTATTTGTAATTAATTGTGTTGATGCTGTGTGTAAATATTTATTTCATATTTCTGTTCATATGAATATCAATAACACACAAGCCTTACCACCTCATACTATTAAACGTAGAAATGAAATCAAACAATTTATATCGTATATTGAAAGAATGTAAAGAACAGAAATGTAACTAGCAAAAAAATTAGTTATACGATGAAAATATACTATTAATGTGTATTCATCATGATCTTTAAGCTGCTCAAATGACCAAATAAATGTGTATGTTCATTATGCTGTCTTTGATATATGTCAAGGATAGTTTCATTATCATCGTCTCCTCATGATAGCTGTACTGACACGAGTTATCCATCCTAATAAAGCACAACCAAATATCTTACATGTCATGTACATGCAGCTAAAATTCTAAATGAAGACTATTTTCAAGATGATCATGGCACCTCCCAACTCGATCTCTGATCGCTGTCTACAAAGTCGTTTCATGTAATCTTTAGCCTTTAGCTGGCACATGGATTGCAGTCTCATGGAGTACTTGAGATCAAGAGAAGGTTATTGAAGATACAGACTCTAATCTTAATGTTGTCTGCCAAACGAACTTTGTATTATATTCGTTGCATGAAACGACTCGGAGACATGACGACATTTAGTCAGCGTGTATGATTAGGAAAGCATCATAAAAATGTTTCTGAACCATGTGCAATTAGATAAGAAACTTAGATTTCATTGTTCATAACATATATTGACAATGAATCATGTATGTGCACTTTCCTTTTGCATTAATGAAATAAGAAAACACTCACCTTTCGTTGACAGAACGCAATAGCTGAGGCGTATGTGTTTGGGATATAACCGTCCTTCAGGGTCAGAATTTGTCTGGACGTGTATGAGAGAGAGAGAGAGAGAGAGAGAGAGAGAGAGAGAGAGAGAGAGAGAGAGAGAGAGAGAGAGAGAGATATATATATATATATATATTCTTTATTTCCTCCAGAAGTTAATCTGAAGATTATACATAATTAATCAAACGTATTCACACAAACTCATATTACCTGTACATATATACAATACAAGACAGTAGCACCAGTGTTATGCTATTCACACAGTACAAAAGGTTAGATCAGATGACATAATCAAGGTAAGGCTTTAGTGTAAGTACATGTAAGTACATAAACTTTTCTGCGCCACATATTTTCTTCATATTCATGAATGGTTTTATTAACCAGTTGTTTCCAGTTTCTCTTTGTAGGAAATACACCACAGCTTATATATGTACAAAGGTTGTTTCGTAGGTTATACTCTCCACATACAGATTTAGGATTAGTTGGATTTGCAATGTATGCACAAAAAAGATGTTTAACAAAACTGTTACAGGTTAAGTTACATAAGCGGCCAAGCAGCTGAAGTTGACAGTTATCGATATAGCCGATCATTGTCCAAAGCCCAAGATTAGCAATAGTGGATTCTGATGGAGATATTTTATCAAGTCCTTGTACAGTTCGCGCGAAATAGCGTTGAGTATGTTCAATGACATTAATGTTTTGACCCTTAATATCAAAGAGCAGTTCGCAGCCGTAAAAACTTGTTCTTAATATTATTCTTAACCAGATTTTTACACTGATAGCTGGATGTAGCTCAGAACTGTTGAGTCCCACAGATTTTAACGAATTAATACTTTGTCTTGCTTTTTGGCAACATTTTTCAATACTTGATTTACATGACAGGTTATGCGTTAGTAGTATGCCACCATACATGACAGAGTCAGAGGTTGTTATATTTATATCACCAAGTTTGCAGTTAATATCTAACCCCTTTTGTTTTGTCTTAGAGAAGACAACAACATTACTTTTTGAAGGGTTATACGTTAGTCGCCACTTTGAGGCATATGAATGTACTGTATCAAGTGCTTTTTGAAGCCCTCGTGGCGAGGTGCTCACAAGAGTTGTGTCGTCTGCAAGCAAAACAGTTGGAATATCTAGACCAAATACACAAATACCACTATTTGCTTTCCAAGGGCTGTTATAAAGTCATTAATGAAGACAAAGAAGAACCAAGCAGAGAGAACTCTTCCTTGTCCGACACCTTGCCTTACATGGTATATATCTGACCGTTCACCCTGATAAGTAACAAAAGCATGGCTATTTGTATAGCTATGGTGAAATAACTTCCATGTATTTCCTCTGATACCCATTTGGTGTAATTTATAAAAAAGACCGTCCTGCCATATTCTTTCGAAAGCCTTTTCATTGTCTAAGAAAGCAGCATATACTGTAGAATCTCGCTGTATGTAAAATTGAATACTTTCAATAAGGGTAAAAACGGACATTATTGCCCCATGTTCTTTCCTAAAGCCGAACTGGAGCATGTCAGGGAAATCAGGATTTGACTTTATCACTTTTAGTTCAATGCGCTTAACAATAAGTTTTTCAAACAGCTTTCCAATGCATGACGTTAAGGTTATACCTCTATAGTTTCGGGGATCCGATTTGTCATTCTTACCCTTGTATATAGGAATGACCATTCCTAGTCTATAATTAAAAGGAATGTATTGTAGTCTTAACATAGCATTAAACAGGGCACACCGATATCTTATCAAGGATTCACCCCCGTGAATTATATGCTCGTTTGTAACTTTATCAGGCCCCGGGGACTTGTTTCTACTCAGTGTTTTTACAGTTTCATTTATTTCTACGGTGGAAAATTGTCTTTCTAGTTCCTCATCATGTGCCCCTATCTCTTCGTGAATACGTTCTAGGGAAGAAGATATTTCTATTAGAAAATTTTCATCAAAAGTGTCTGAGCAATATGGCTGAGCTAGATCAGAGTAATATTTTCCCCACAATCTACAAATGTCCGAGGGTGTTGTGACACTTTCTCCCTCATACTTGAGTTGTGTTATATCTGTAGTTTGTGACATTTGCTTTCTTACAGTTTTGTTAAAGGAATGTATATCAAGTTCAGATGATTTTTCTATTTCTGTAAGGACTTCCTTCCTTTTACCTTGTTGGGATTTGCGATAAAGGCGTCTAAAACACCGTTTTTCATTTTTGTAAGATATACGTTCGTTTGAATCTTTATCTCTCGATCTACCATTTTGAATACAAGCTCTTCGAGCCACCCTCATACGATAGTGTGCGTTATCAAGACCATCTTGTCTCCAAAATGGTTTAAGAAAGGGCTTAAACACACTTTGTGGGATACATTTGTTACCTGCATGTATAAGAATTTCATTTATGATGTCACATTTTTTTTCTCAAAATTTTGTGGATCTAAGGAGTGGGGATCTGGATTGCCATCATATGCACATTTAATATATCTATCAACTTCTGCTTGAAACATAGAAATATTAGTCTTATTTGCTTTTTCCCACTTAGGGATAACTCGCTTTATATTTTGATCGTGGCTAGTTAGCCCTTCTTGTGATATAGAAATATGACAAGGAAAATGATATAGATATTTCATAAGGACAGCTTGCTATAATGTAACAGTCTGTAATGAAGTTCCGTAGCCATGACGGTACAAGAATATAGTCTATAAGGCTTCGTGATGTGTTATCTTTTGATCGGCATGTATATCCTGGTCCTCCGAATTGTACCATATGTACTGCATGTAATAGATGTCTATTTTCTATAACATTTCTAAGTAGCTTATCCCGTGCTGTTAGACTGGCCTTACACACATCAGCATTTAAATCACCCAAGATAAAAACTGTTCCTAACTCACACAGATTATCATATATATCCATCAGTTCATCAAGGGCATTACAGTATACAGAGTTTAACACATTTGTAGATGGTAGTCGACTGGCTATTACATATACATCACAGTAGCCTGTTTGTGACAATTTAACACTTATTGCATAATCCGAGCTTATAGCTATTGGATTAGCTTTCCACTTGGTGTGGGTATTAGATAAGATAGCCAACCCATCTGACCCTCGTGCATTAGTGGTAGTAGTAGTAGCAGTAGCAATAGTAGTAGTAGTAGTAGTAGTAGAAGTAGTAGTAGTAGCAGTAGTAGTAGTAGAAGAAGTAGTAGTAGTAGTAGCAGTAGCAGTAGAAATAGTAGTAGTAGTAGTAGTACTAGTAGTAGTAGTAGTAGTAGTAGTAGTAGTAGTAGTAGTAGTAGTAGTAGTTGTAGAAGTAGTAGAAGATCCCAATCAACATTTTAAATTAAAAACGTATTTCATTCTGGCACCTAAATACATGCGAAAACGACAAGTCACATACTACGAAAAAGGTATTCCTATTTGTAATTAATTGTGTTGATGCTGTGTGTAAATATTTATTTCATATTTCTGTTCATATGAATATCAATAACACACAAGCCTTACCACCTCATAATATTAAACGTAGAAATGAAAACAAACAATTTATATCGTATATTGAAAGAATGTAAAGAAGAACAGAAATGTAACTAGCAAAAAAATTAGTTATACGATGAAAATATACTATTAATGTGTATTCATCATGATCTTTAAGCTGCTCAAATGACCAAATAAATGTGTATGTTCATTATGCTGTCTTTGATATATATCAAGGATAGTTTCATTATCATCGTCTCCTCATGATAGCTGTACTGACACGAGTTATCCATCCTAATAAAGCACAACCAAATATCTTACATGGCATGTACATGCAGCTAAAATTCTAAATGAAGACTATTTTCAAGATAATCATGGCACCTCCCAACTCGATCTCTGATCGCTGTCTACAAAGTCGTTTCATGTAATCTTTAGCCTTTAGCTGGCACATGGATTGCAGTCTCACGGAGTACTTGAGATCAAGAGAAGGTTATAATTATTGAAGATACAGACTCTTATCTGAATGTTGTCTGCCAAACGAACTTTGTATTATATTCGTTGCATGAAACGACTCGGAGACATGACGATATTTAGTCAGCGTGTATGATTAGGAAAGCATCATAAAAATGTTTCTGAACCATGTGCAATTAGATAAGAAACTTAGATTTCATTGTTCATAACATATATTGACAATGAATCATGTATGTGCACTTTCCTTTTGCAATAATAAAATAAGAGAACGCTCACCTTTCGTGGACAGAACGCAATAGCTGAGGCGTATGTGTTTAGGATATAACCGTCCTTCAGGGTCAGAAGTTGTCTGGACGTGTATGTAGTTGTGACCCACTTCAGTTTCTGGGATAATGTTGGACAGATAACAAACTGTTTGCCCAAGTGATCTGATGTCACATTGGCAACATCAGAGATAACACACATCAGCTTCTTGTCATTTGGGGATATAGACGTCTTTCTTTAGCCGAACATCTAAAGTTCGTGGCGCTGAGCTTTATTGAGTGATTTTAAAATATTCTGTAATATCACACCGTATTACTTGACATAATGATGCTAATCTGCTTCAGTGCAATACATAGTATTATAATTTTCACCATTGTGAATTTAGGATCGAGGCGTTAATATGTGATAGATGATAAAATAAATGAATAAACTGTTCAAGACTAGTAGCGTTCACACAATAGGACTACAGGTTAAGCATCCGGCGCGGTTCACATGCATATGTAGAACAAAGAGATATGAAATGATAAGGAATAGTTTTATGTAATTTCTGGATTGAATGCGACTGTCATTACATCACGATACTATCGGCAACGACATTACTTGCTAGTCCCACTCCATGCTCAATGAACATGAACCAGATCCAGTTTGCGTTCTTTCCTCTTTGTTTCTCAAACTTATAAACAATGTTCGACAAGTTTTATGGTGTAAGAGCTAGTTAGCGAGTGCCCGCGTAAACACGAGACTTACATAAAAGTTCCATGTATGCGTGAACCTTGGTGACGAGTTCGGTAATACTGATGAAGACAAGATTGAGCATGTCTGGTGGTATGAGTTTAAGTTCGCTGTGCACTCGAACGACATGTTAATTGACTATTTATTTGAATGCAGGCAAAATTAAATCGGGATATGCCAAGGCCAGGGTCGTCAATAGCGGACGGGGCATCCATTGGCACCAGGCTGAATTCATGAAGTGTGGCTTGATGGTTTGGTGAGGAGTTTGTGGAACTAGTGGACGTGACGAGTCATCATCAGTGACAATCTCACCGGCCAGATTTACAGGGACGTTCTTCATTCCGTGGTGTGACCATTTCTTCATCTACCAGCAACAGGGAAACTCTTAGAGCACGACAATGCTAGGACGCAAACTGCAACAGTCGTCCACGATTTCTTAGCTTCCCACAACGTCGTCGATATAACAAAGCCAGCTCGCTCACCAGACTAAAACCCCATTGAATATCGTTGACGTCATCTGCTCGTCTGGTCAGGAGGCAACGGATTCCTAATGACGTCATCGGGCGGCTAACGACATTGATGAGACGGCTAGTCTGGGCGTGACTTGTGGCTCGTGGGTCGTGGTCGTATTCGCTATTGTCTGGTATCTGTGATCCAACTGAAACTGATCCCGTCAATGTACTGCGAAACTGCGACCCCCGGTCATATTCGCTATTGTCTGGTATCTGTGATCCAGCTGAGACTGATCCCGTCCATGTACTGCGAAACTGCGACCCCCATATCCATGAGGCGTCATGTGCACGTCACCTGTTATATAGTGTAAGGTGAAATGGAATTTAACATCGCTTTCAAAATGATTTAAGTTAAATGGCGACGTACATGCGCGCGCGTGTGTGTGTGTGTGTGTGTGTGTGTGTGTGTGTGTGCGTGCGTGCGTGTGTGTGTGTGTGCGTGTGTGCGTGTGTGCGTGTGACTGCTTGTCCTGACTAATGCCGTTTTGATAGGCATAACATGAATACTCCACTGAGACACAGCATAATGACTCCCAGCCGACAAGTCATTGTAAAAAATGTATTCCCTTAAACCCGAGCGCCAGGCAGGGTAACCCCCGACCTTCCGCTCTCCTGGCAGACGCTGTACCACTAGACCACGGAGGCGGTGCCTTTTATGATATATGATGCATTGATATGATCCTATAATAATCAGGTCAGACACATGGTTATAATGGGTGTATACTTTCTTTTACCCGGCAGTTTATGTTTTGAGGATATACGTATATTGGGAATGAGCGCTCTCTCGCTGTATGGCTGAGATGTCAGCGACTGTCAATGAAGGTTATATATAGAGGTTTCCAATAAGAAAAGGAACATCCTACGAAGCCAACGTTCGTTGCTACTGAAGATTGTTGATTGTCTCTGCCCATGCATGCATTAAATCTTTCCTTAACGTGGGCTATATCTTCTTTCGTAATTGTTAACGGGGGCGAATTGTGCAGAAGTTTTCCATAAAGGAGTATGATGTCTCCTGCAGCTTATCTCGTTATCGTAAAATACATCAAACTCGATTTTTAAAATATGTTTGTTTCTTACTTTGTTGTTTTACTACCCGAAAGGCAACACTCTAACTTATTGAGTGAGTGCGTGAGTTTGGCTTTATGCCGCTTTTAGCAACATTCCTTCAATATCACGACGGGGGACACCCGAAATGGCCTGCACACATTGTATCCATTTGGTACTCTTACTAAAAAGACCAGACAAACCAGTGATCGATATGAGCAACGCACAAGGCCGTATGATTACGATAGCACTAACCAGAACTAAACTGACCCTATCGATAACACACAACAGAACATGCAAACATCAATGTCATCCATTGTCATTTATTAATGTGTGTCGAACATGTAACGAGCTCGGCTGTACTACAACTTCAGAGATACAAAAAAAATTACGTTTAATCCACGAAAACTATCTTGAATAACGAAATAAATGATTTCATAAAATATGCGCGCTGATATAGTCTTCACATACCGTCTTGATAAACATACATGTCATCGCAACAAACTAATTGTAGACTCTATTAATGTTATCGTTCGAATCACACCTAGCTCTTTACTGTTATTATTAACTGTTATAGTACATTTCACCACAAAACGTTTGTTTTACCTGAATAAAGCTCCATGAAACGTCACTTGGACCACAGGACATGTTGAACCATTTCATGAACACCTGTTGCCTTCATTGTCATGACAATAACGCTGTGGTTGAATTAATCGCTTTTAAATAAATTTTCTTTTTCTCAAAATAATAGAAGCAAATGTTTAAATCGCTATATCAATGACATGGGAAATGAGGTGAAAGATAAAGGACTTACATATTACTATCCCGCATATATTCATTCGTGAGGTTTCAGATGTGTATATAAAAGGTCTCTAATTTACTACCTCTCTCTGACGACAAGAGCGCTTGTGAAACGGTGCTCTCTTGAAACGCGTACTTACACTTGGGCAAATAGCCCAGCTCTCTACGAACGCGTCGAAAAGAGGTTACACGAAGTGAAAAACATAACAAAAACGTTACCCAAGTTGCTAGCATAATCTCACTTAAGTATGGTTGAATAGCACCGTTTTTAGCAGAAGACGAATCGGCAGTGCGCGAAATCAGAGAGTCTGAGAGACGGGTCATATTTGTGACTGTGTGTGTGTTCTGAAATAGATTTCATTGAGTTGAGTAAGCTGTTGTTCTGATTTTAGTATACAATTCTAATGGGTTAATTCTAAATGGCACCGGTACGACAGGATACGCTCACCTTTTCGCGAACACCTGGTATCACCACTTTTAGCAGAGATTTCTATTGAATATGAAAAGAGTTTTGTCGCTTTTATTCATAGGCTCCGATTGTTATATGCATCGATGCGTAGGGTTTACAAGTGAAACTGCATGGTAATTTTGAGGTATAAATTGGAATTTGATCCCTTATTTCGACCCATCAGAATCAAGCATTATTCGTTTCTTATGATGGAATTCCTCGTGGAAAATTGATTTGAAGTCCATGATAGTGCAATAGGACATCAAATAAGTGACGCTTACACGCTTGATATAAGAGGCGTCCAACAAGAGCGTCAGCTGTAATTAATCTGCGTTACAATAGCTATTATACAGTAAAACCTCCAGAACTCGAAACCCCGGTGTTTACCAAACTACGTCGACTTATCCGAAGTTCGAGACAAGCGGAGTGACGGCGTTTGCCCATTAAGGAATAATATATTTGCATCGTCCTTGTACAGTGAGATAAAGGAGTTCGAGTTATTTCACTGTAGTAAAGTTCACATGACATGACACGTTCTCACAAAATATGATGTAATGTATGGTGTACCCGACCTTCATATTTCATTACAAACTGCACCTCTCTTCATCGAGAAGCGATTCACCACAACTGAGGTATCCAATTGCATCGTGAAATGTGACATGTGTCTCCTTTCGTTCGTTTGTATGTTGAAGATAATATATGAATGAAAGTATGGATAGTTCATAACGTTGTGAATTATGTACATACTAGGGCTGGGACGAGTCCGCATTTACTACCCGGGTACCCACCCCCTATTACAAGACCCTACCCGGGTCCCACTGTAGGTCTCAAGAGATAGTACAAAATGTCCCATTGGGCATTTTTATTACCATAGCACACAGTCTGGCAAAACGTATTTAGATACATGTTTTAAAAATCTGGTCATGCATACACTGAAGTTGACTCAAGTTATGTTTTTATTCAAAGATATGAAAAGTCAGAAGGAATGAGTGCATAGTCAGAAAGAAATGCGAATATTTGTGACTTGTAGTAGAGTTCTAGATACTTTTTGTCATTAAACAATATATCACGTGACTAACCACCGGTCGGGTAGTCCTGTGGGTACCAGGGTCCTACTCAGTACCCACCCGACCCGGGTACCCAAGTTACCCGTCCCAGCCCTAGTACATACATAATGGTCGCTACTAATACCACATATGTATATTATACATATGTGGTATTAGTAGCGTTAAACTTTCAAAACGATTGCGGCATTCGATACAACGCAAGAATGATTCTAATTTATACATGGTGAATTCACTCAAAATTATCGAGCTAACAAATCATCACAATCACAAATGTCATTTTTCAACACTTAATCTTACATTTACTAACGCCAGATGAGAAACTGATGTAGCCTTTTTCGAAATCTCATTCAGGAAACGTCTCGCCAACATTGTCTTGAGAGGGATAGTGAGGACAAGTAAGCAAACACTGTACACAGCTCTTTAGTAAGAAGTTAACACAGCAGCAAGGGGTAGCTTTCCATTGTCCGGAAACCTTGCGGATACTTTTCCACTTTGAATCCGGCCCGGATACCTTCCGGAAACCTTCTCCAAAAATGGTCAAAATTTTGGGGGTGCATTGTGTTTAGTTAATATCAATTGCACAAATATCTCAGAATTGCAAAGAAAAGTGAAGATTGTTGAAGGTATCCACAATGTTTCCGGAACATATCCGGACCGGATTCAAAATGGGAAGGTATCTGTAAGGTTTCCGGAAAACGGACGTATACCGTTTCCTTGCTGTAGAAGGAAATCCAATAGTAATGGCGCCCAAAAAAATAAATCTCTCCAGGCACGAAGAAACCCAGATATGCTAAAATGATCATATCATATTACATCAGTTAACGATCTCCAAATACACATGTCTGAGCCTTTCATTGTGACACTGGAAAACAAACCTCTTTGTTTCTTTTGAGAGGGGCGTGGTAAAAAAATGGCTCACTCGATCACTTGTAGCGGGATCACTAAATCCTCCGCTATAACTACACTATTATGCAAGGTAAACAAAAAAGTCTTATAACTACATTATTTTCCAACATGTATCATACCTACTTCGATGTTTGGTTTTGGGCCTTTTGCTTACCTTACAATAACGTTATGTAAACATCTTATCTGTACTTGCATATACTTGCGGTCTGAAACGTCTTTTCCGGTTGGGATTTAGTGAATAGTTATCGCTTGAAACGAAAGACGTGAATGTTATGTGCTCTTCCGGTCGTATGATGACACTTCCGGTTTTGAAACTAAATGTTTCTCTTGCAGTGGAATGTCAGGCCGGAAAAAGAGAATCTAGCCAATCTAGTAATCCAAATGCAGATTTGATGAGATTACTTCCCGTTGAGTATGTATATATGCCATTTAGGAAAAACCCCGGCCCCGATAATATTTTAATTAATACGTAATCTTTATTGTGACTTTGATATGAATTGGCCAAATACCAGAATTCGATGAAGGTAAATGCTATTCACCTACGTTCAACAAACACAGACGCACATACATCTTCCCGAGGCAAGGGAATTACCTGACTATCAAAGTACAGTTCCCACCCTTGCCGAACAGCTGGATTTCTAGTCTTGATCGTAGCGCCACCAGTGGCTATTACAAGTTATGTCCCTTCTATGTACTCCCTCTCATATCACTTGCATTTGCTTCAAACAAAAGGGCGGCGTCCAGTCAAGACGATCTGCTTGATAATCAAGCTCCATATTGTCATACACCGGGTTTACCCCCGCGAAGTGCATGTAATCACGTGAGCACCTCGATTAAAAGTATGAAAGAATTTGCAAAATATCTGTCGACGCCCAGTTTGCGATAACATGCTTTGCAAACCCTGCAGTCGACCGAAATGTGAACGTTGAAATCCATCTTGTTTACGCACCGGTTGTCTATTTCGTGATGCGGTTTTGATTAGACTATGCATACACTCGTTAGTACAGCCAAAATGTAACTCCATAATTCCAGCCTAGTTCGGCAAGGGTGGAAACTGGACGTTTATAGTAAGTTAACTCCCTTGCCTCGGCAAGATGACGCACATAGCGGTGATGGTCTTCCTACAAAATTTCTATAATGTGGGCTTAGTGGTAGCTGCATCTCCATTTGGCTGAAGATTCGCAAGCTCTTCAGCGTTAGATCGGATAAAGTCAGTCCGGGTATTTTCAGGTCGGCGGCTTCTTCTGAAACACGAGACAAAACTGTCTTGACTTGATGAAAAAGACAACACCCCATATGGCCATGGGGAGGCGGAGAGGTTGAATGTTGTTTAACCCTGCAATCCGAAACAATGTTCTCGCTTTTACGATGTACTGTACACGAGATAAAACAATGAGTGAGTGAGTTTGGTTTTACACAGAATCCCCGCTCTGTCTTCACCAACCCATGCGTGCCGTAATAGGCGACTATGCTGATTAGCTGATTGAGATGATGCATGTCATCGTATCCCTCAATCACTGCATCATCTGGTCCAGACTCGATCATTTACAGACCGCAGTCATGTAGCTGGAATATTGCTGAGTGCGGCGTTAAATAACAAACAAACGAACAAAAAAAACACGACCATGGATATGGTGCTGACACACCTTAACACAAATCGTAACAATAACTTTTATGAACGCCAACGGGACGCATCTCTGCAATTTGGGCGCTTAAGACGACAGGGCCACTCGTGCTCCCGTCATCCTGTGTATGTTAGCCTAGTCACTTGTGTTGCCGATGTATATAAAAAGAACATCTTAGAGCTCACTCACCTTTTCATCTGCCTGGCATCATCAATAGTATCTGGGAGTGGGTTGTTGAGAGTTTCAGGCAATGCCAAAGCTGCCAGTCCAGCCACTGCCATGGACGTACCGAATATAATGAGAGGAACAGCCCGACCAAAGTCTCCTGATATCACCAGAGCCTGTGAATAATCACATTTTGATAACTAATATTAAGCGACAGCTTGAAGATTAAGCCTTGTTAGTTCTATCATCCAATACCATCAGACCATGAATAATACTAACTGTGTGAGGAACGCTACTGCTAATACTGCAGACTTCAGGCCAAGTGTAGCAAGTGATATGTTCCTGTGCAACTACGCGCTTACTTGTTAACTTTGATAGCAAGATCTCAAATTGAAACAGGTCTGAAGAACCGTCTTGTGCTTCGCCTATAGATAATGTTGTGCTTTTGGCGTTTTTCGTTATAGTCATGAGTGAGTGAGTATTGTTTTAATCTCCTTTTAGCAATACTCTAGCATTATTACGGCGGGGAACACAATGTGGGGAGTGGAACGCTTTAACCACCAAGCTATCCCACCAACCCCTTCTAACAAGACCGTTGATGAATAATATTTTAAATAAATACCAGGTTAGCTATGTAAGGTGATGCAGTTCCTCCCACCCTTGCACATATGTTAGCAACTGCCAGAGCCGAGTTCCTGATGACAGTGGGGAAGAGTTCTGAAGAATACAACCAGATGACGTCGAAACTTGCCACTGCGAAACCCCGACCAGTCAAAGCTAAGGCAATGGTCAGCCAGTTGAGAGCTGGGGAGAAGAGTTTACATATATTAATAGTTTGTTCTTTAGATGTTCTTTGATATCTAAAAGCAGACATGAATTATAGAATAGTCAACCGCTTCCGTAATCTCGGAAGGTCTGTGGTTTCGATGAGGACATGTACCTAAATTCACTGACTTTCAGTAAAGGCTTTTCACATTAACAGGCAACCTTCTCTTCAGCATATGACCTTTAGCGTGAGCTTTCCCCTTTGCTATACCCTGGGCTATAGCTGACATATACCAGATATTATATCGATGTTCCTGATGTTTCGCCCAAACTCCCCGTAGTTTCACAAACAACAAACTTTGACGAAATCTAAAGACGTCACCCGTTTATAATTACGTGCTAAATAATCAATATAATTGTTCCTTACATCCACCTCCATAGATGACAGGTAGGATGGTCGCTGTGCAGAACACACCGCCGAGGATCATAGCGGTGCAATGGAGCGACTTCCGACCAATGCGATCGAGGAGTAGAAGACAGGCCACGTGACCGACCAGCTCGACCACTGCGGTGATGAACACGTTGGTGTAAACACTTCCACCGAGACTGGCCACGTTGAGACCGAGGCCATAAAAGCCAAGACTGACCACGAACCTGAAAGATGAAACAATTCACTGAAACATTTGGCTAAAATCAACGTGTGTACGGCGACTTGTGGTTATATCAAAGAACCAAACCTTTTGTTATCCATCGTCAACATGTTGGCAGAACCGCGTTTCTTGATAAAATCAAGGGTGTTATGTGTTCGAATCCCAGATCCTTGGGCAGTACTACGCCTGTGATAAACGCCTTCGTCCTGCATTCGTTTAATGTTTCCCCTCACATTAACCCAGTGATAGAACTTCCCTCATTCAACGAATCCCATCACTCGGGTATGCTGCCAAATTACGAAACGTTTCCCGACTCGGAAAAATTATGTATCATTAATAACCTAAAGGGAGGCGGAAACGCTAAATGGTTGAAGACACGGGCTCGATTACAAAAATGAGTTATACTGTCAATTATAAGGTGATATATCTACTTACTATTATATTCATTCTAACAACTAGGAATATTAAATAATAAAATGTTAACAATATTCATATGGAAGCCCTACCAGTTGAGAAACAACACGAGGCTTCTGATAACCAAAGAGGGACTTGTGAACATCCGCCATAGTGGTTCTTCCTTCCTCCTCTCTAACATGTGTCCGCTGAATATGTTAGAGGGCAAGGACGTCTTGTTGACCTTGGCGGCATGACGTAATATCCGGTCCGCTTCCTCATACTTCTGCTTACTAATCAACCAACGTGGAGACTCCGGCATAAACCTGGAAATATGTATTGAAGTTCGCAAGAAAAACGAATGATAGCCCGAACGGATAACTAGAAGACGTCTCACTGGTTGATTAACCATAATATATTTACACATAACACTTAAGTTTGATATACATGTACATTGCGCATTACACTAAGGACTATGCTCTGTGGGCTGGAATCTTATCCGGCTAGAAGTTGAAATGTACGACTTGTACTTATATTATACTGAGGTAAGGTGAAATGGGGTTTTACTGTGCTAATTGCTGTGAAACTGCGACCCCCATGCGACGTCATTTGCACGTCACCTGTTATAAGGTGAACTGAAATGTAGTTTAACGTCGCGGTCAATATTATTGCACTTAAATAGTGACGTGCATGCACGTGTGTTCATGTGTGCGTGTGTGTGTGTCTGTGTGCGTTGCTGTTTGTACTATTCCGAGCTAATGCCGATTTTATAGTGCTGGTCCACTAAGATACAATGCCGCAGTTTAACATGAATTACCCATTAGACACAGTAAACTGACTAGGAGCCAATCAGACAGGGTAACAACAAGTACATGTACCATGTATTAACGTCTTTTGGTATGACGCAGCCGAGGATCGAACCCCCGACCTTCCGCTCTCCGGGTAGACGTTCCACCACTAGACCACGGAGGCAGTCTTATTCAACTGAGACATATCTGAGGTTATTTATTGCTTTCTCAAATTTTATTAAAGTAACATGGGTATTGAATCAAACTGGTTCCGACAACCACTAAGCCCGAGCCTAGCGCCCTTTTTAACATTTCTGTAAACAGCAATAGCAAATTTCGATTGCAACTTACTGACTTAAATAGTGTTCAGGTAGAGTTCAAATACATTCATATTTGCCTATTGGAGCTTTGATCATTGACTTATATCATTAATTCTGGTTTGTGCGGTCAACCTGGGCGATGCACTTCAATATGTCCATTTACGAATTTAGAATGGCGTTATTAATTTTATAATTTACAATATATACTAGAAGCGTTATCAGAGCTATCAGTAGGCAAGCTTACCAGTAGTATGCCAGAAACAAAACTGTTGGCGCTGAAACTATCAGCTGCAGATGTCGCCAATCTCGTACAAGGTATGCCATCGTTGCTGCCATGAAGACTCCTACAGTCCAGTATATCTCGCATATGATGCCAGTCAATACTCTCTTTGAGGGACCGACTAGTTCCACACCTGAACGCAAATAGAAAACAATCGGTTGTTTTAATTAAGAATTCAAAGTTATGAATTCCGGGTCAGAGAAGGTACAATGCTACTGCACATTGCATGCCACAAGAGCAGATGAAAAGGATGTTCCGTTGGTCAGGCTCTGTGAGTTGATTGTCGTCACCATAGATAGCAGTTGTCGTATATCGGTACCCACACATTTCTTTTCTATATCTAACGAACTTACATTAATTATGAAAGGTAATTATTTAGGAGATAAATTATGCTGTGATTTCAATGCAGAGTTATGCTACATGTCGATTTGACGGTGTTAAATGCGATTTAGAACCGAACACGAAAACCACCAGGAGGAGAACACATCCTTGTGACACAGAATATTTGACGTCACTGTCGACGATAGAAAAGAGTAAAATTTTCAGTTCTTCTTTGTGTCTAAAATTGATGATAACTGTCGGTTTCTGTCGAGTTTTCTGCAATGTAATGTATTGCCAAACATGTTTTGAAATTGCATTTATTAATAGTATTATTTCAAAAGATAACTAGCCATAATTAAGAGAAAGTACTTCCCTTTACATATTAGTTGCTGCGACATTACGGGCGTCAAATCAGCTGTTCCACTCAGAGGGGGTTATTCAGATTTGAAACATCTAACTGACCAATCAGAATCGAATTATGTAAAGTGTTATTATAGACTAAAACAATTATAATACGAAAACATGTTTATGCGGGAATATAAATTATTTGTGTAATATTGTGTACTTATAATGATGATGTTTTCTAAAGGTTTCTAAAACAGTTGTGAATTTACCATAAATAGTCTTGTTATATTACTAATAGAAATGATTTTGCTACATTACACATCAACAAAAACTTATTTTTATACATTAATATAGTGATAATGAACATGGATATATATATTGCACGAACGTTAAGCACTTTGTATGGGTTAAACTACCGGAGGCGTCTCTTGCATTTATTTTGCTTCTAGCGTGAAAGAAACTCGCGTATGACGTTGACACTTTGTCTCAATGAAGACAAAAATATTTGAAATTGTTTGCTACAAATTATAAACTAAAACGTGCACAAAAGATAATGGTCGTCACATGCCAGAATCAAGGCGAATCTCGAATTCGAACCCACAATCATGGGACCCTTACATGACTAAGGGACACAACTCTGCACAATTTAATTACGGTGCCTACTACGAGAGGACTGAGACATCAGTGTCAATGTCAATAAGGAAGCAGAGTGAGTTCGCCAAAAGAACTTCCGGTTCCGAAATTCACTGGGAATTCCTACCTACGACGAATGCGTTGCTCCATATGGCGATGCCGGACATTCCGTTGATGAAGTACAGGATGCCGATGATGGCGAAGCTGGGGCTGAAGGCAGTCACGATGGTGGACACTGCATGCAGTAAGACTGACACCATAAACATTTTCTTCCGTCCGATACTGAAAATGAACAAAGCATATATATCATATTTCAGTCTAAGGATTCCATCAATTACCACACTAGATGTAATATTTTATCCAGTAGAAAACGCTGTGATCATTAGATTGCAAAATGAAAAACAAATGACCAGGTTATCTTAATCTTAACTTTGATTCTGAAAACAGCTTATACCAATTTACAGGTACTTACAAATCTGACGGTGACACCAACAAAACGCTGCCCACTAGCGATCCTAGCATGTACATCATCTGAGCGTGGGATTTTGTTAACTTCATGTCGCATACCCAACCAAACTGAAACACAATGATGGAGGAATAGCTTGCCAACACAAGGACATTGTTACATTTTTTTTTTATAGAGCTGGAATTTATGGGAATATATGCGATACACTCTATTTTAATTTTTTTAATTCCAAATGAATTTTCCAATCAATATCTCAATCTTATTAATTATGTAGGTATGTATATGTAGTACAATTATTATATTTTGTATGTCATGTCTTCTAAATGTGGAAATACCTTTGTCACAATAGTTGAACTGAACACATCAGTGTCGTAGACCCATTTTTCACATCTTCGAGTAGAATTTGTGTCAAATGCATGTCCATCTGTTGTATTGATGGTGCTTTTGATAAGACAGGAAGAGTAGAGTTGTGTCCCTTCAGTAGGCAGAGGAATGGCTGCGTTGACTGCACGTGCATGTTTCTCCCCCTGAATAGTGTATGTGTCGTTGTCCCAGTCAGGGAGAGCACACCTAGAGAGAATCGAGGGTTAGTGTGGTGGAGAGTTTTAAATTACTTTTGTAGACAGTCATCGATTGATCCTTGTAGTCAATTTGTGCCAATTAACCAGAACAGTATTTGTCTCACCCACAGTCAATCATCTCACAACGACATGCAACCGCAGTAAAGTGTTGCATTATGTATGCCAGCAGTCATAAAACTTTCAGCCCAACGTTTCCAGTGTAATTTAACATGTTAGCGAGTTACATGGATTCACCAAGTCTACGACATGCCGTTTCATCTTTGTCGGGGGGCACGTGTGGCCAAGTCATCTAAGGCGCCGCGATTCGCTGTGCAGAGTTGCGTCCCTTGGGCACACCAGAAACCTATGATTGTGGGTTCGAATCCCGGTTCGCCCTGATTATGTTTCTAGGTTTGTCAGCACCATACCCGTGCTCGTGGGTTTCACCGAAGTGGTAAACGTCTGAGACCTGAATCACATTCCTCCCACATTAAGCTGGCACGCCGCGATATAACTGGAATACTGTTAAAAGCGGTGTTAAACCCAACTCACTCACTCACTCAAATTACTTTTAAGGCCCTTTCAAGGCTTTCTGCCAACCCCCGCTACCATATTGTTATGTACCTGTGGTCTGGTACACCAAGTGTGAAGATAGTCAACATGGTCTGAATCCCGACTGATATCATAGGAATACATAGCAGGAAGTAAAGTCTCTTCTGGTAGGGGCCAAAGTCGCCTAGCAGCTTCACAATTGCATCATATTTCATCTTGGAAACTGCAATAAAAATATTTATAATGCATAAATGAATAAATAGAAGCCTTTCCTTTACGAGGGTGAGTGCCCAACTACCAACTTGGACATCTGCTCAGCGGCGCCACACAATATTATTACCCCCGTCAGTGGATCAGTGTTCACTCGAATTTCATTCTCAGCTCCCTTGGGAGTATATAACCAAGCTGCGTATGAGGCTCTACAAGATAAACAGTCAGATTACCATCTTTTCCTACCGAGTATCAATTCATTGCTGTATAAACCTCACTCACTCACACACTGACCTAAATCCTGATCTCAGATGAAACTGTTTTAATAAAAAAAACGCCTACGCTGCACATTACAGGTGGCGTCACAACCTGTTCAAATGAGTGAAGATACAGAACACATACAATTGTAACACAATCCTCAGATATATAAAAAACGAAATGAAAAAGCGTTATTACCCAATCAACCAATTAAATATATTGACTATATTTGTACATGCAAATTACCGTTACTACGAAAACGAATATTATTTTATATGTTCGACCATGTGCCGTTGTTATCTTCCAATAGTATCCTGGATTGCAGACGCATTTTGGAACAATGCATCCTGGAAATGTTCAACGGAATAATTCAACAATATGAGATGTCCATATCTTTAAACCATGGCCAACATTAAATTACCTTAACATCTGAAATTTGAAAAACAACATTGTCTTGTGAACAGTTTAAAAAGTTATCCCGGGCACGTAATCAATTCATGGAGGACAGGGGCCGATGTTGCAGGGCCTATAACACTTATGAGCGAACACAGTCCTGAACGTAAGAAATCTTTTTAAGAAAAGCTACACGTACGTTCAGTGTACAAAATGACAAAGTATAATAAATCACAAACCTCCCCGTTCATTAATTGATAAGATATTTGTATTGATATCAGTAAATATGTCATTGATAATTCCACTTAATTTCTTCAATATCGCCTTGGCAAAAGACCACATTCGTGTTGTAAATGACAGGGGGGAACGTGACGTTTTATCATTGCCGAGAGGTGTTTAACGTTCCAAAAATTGAGTTATTTCACGGTCAAAGACAAAGGAGTCATGGTTTGAAAGATAATACTGTTAGCTGTTGTTTAAGTTAAGCTACCTTTAAAAAGGTGGTCCCGTTGTGTTTCTTCACCTACCTCATACACATTTGGCGATCACAAAACGGTAACTGTGAAGCAGTCAAATGAAAGTGATGGTCGTAGTACCACGCTTGTCACGCTCCTACGTTAAACGAATGGAGGCAGCACACGAATGTTTTTACTGTTTTAATTGTGTAATAAATTTTCATTGCGTATGAATACACCACGGGCTTTGTTTCTGTGATCAATTATATATTTCGAACTTCGAACATTAAGTGCACCTGTTATATTTAAGGAAACAAATTATTTCAACTGCAGTTGAAACATGTACATACATGATTTTAGTTAAAAGTGATCTGGTAATTGATACACCTTATACATTGCATATACTTGATAACATGTCGAAGTTCAGATTCCTGTATATAACAGTCTCGGTTACTGATGTTATGAACTGCGGGGCAAAAGAAATTATACACTTGAAAATTGGATTTGACCACAAACTGACAAACGTTATCAAAACATTACTAGCCTGAAAACAGACACCGAAACACTGCAAATTATGAAACCTGTAATGAATGCATAACCATTGAGTAACCATTTCATTTTTTCTTTTCTTTTTAAGCCACCACCAATAATGGGGTATACTTTCCTTTGGGTGGCAGTTTAGTTTGTTTATCGCGTTTTGTTCCCCTATCTTGAAATTTACCTCACACCACACGTTCCCCATTGTTTTCTGTTGAAAAGTTACACAAGATTTCTGGTGTTACATAATATACATTTGGGTTTCGTTCTACTCAACATTGAGATGAAGAGAAGCCACATGTAATGATAATCACATGTTCTATGGTTATATAGTTTTACAAAAGACACCTGGTAATTGGATCATTGATTGAAGTCTATCCCCTGCCTGTCAATACCTTTATCCGTGCATGGACGGTGAAACGTGGGTTTTATTGACGCAAATTGCTCATCATCCTTGCAAACCAACACTTTGTATAGGTGATGCTAACTGGACTCACTGCGACATGGATCAATAATCATGAACACATGCTTTAATTAATTGTAAAAATTGGCTTGATGAACATTGCGGCACACCAGTGTTCCTCAGTGATGAAGAATAACGCGTTTGAGCGTTGACAAGTAGGCTCACTGCAATGCCAGGAGCGAGATCCCACAGGAGGTGCAGTACTTGTGGATGAAATAAAACCAGTTCTGAACATAACAATATCACAGCCTGTCAATATTAGGTTCATGGGAAGAACAAAGCACCTATCAGAACTGTCCGTCATCACTCGGATCATTGGTGCCCATGCCATGACGAGGAAGAGTAAAATAGTGTGAACACTATAATTTGACAAACATTGCTGGTTTGTGAATAGGTTCAAATTTTTCATTTACTTTCTGAGTTTTAATGCCTACCTGCAAGAATTATGTTGAGAAATGTGCCCCCATATACGACTGTTCCTTCATGGAAACCTTGCAAAAGTACCAACCCAATCTGGTGTTCGAAACAGATAACGTCACTCGCGTGCAGCGGTCACGCCTTTTATCGGGGATATTTTTCCATCGGAACATGGATGAATTCTGTTATTAAAGACTTTACCTACCGGTATGAACACGAATTTAAGTTTTTGTTCGCTCATCTCACGAACTGTCAGTCTTAGCTGTTCGAAAATAGAGTTCGCGAGGATATATTTATTCACAGGCTTCAGCAGAACTGTTATTTATATCATTCACAGAATGTAACCGAATTCAAATTAGTGTGAACGAAATGAAGCAAGCGCAAATTGTATTGATTTACTTTCAGTCATGGTTGCATCTGGTGTTTATTTCCCTGCCACATTATATCATGCTTTTGAAAACTGAAAAATTTATATTGGTGTTTACAAATCCATTTTGTTCGTCTACTACACATGTACGTAGTACTGCTTTCGATAGGAACCCTACGGTTATGTTAAGAACTCGCTGAGGATTACGGGTTCGAATTGGCCCCTCGCTACATATGCTGATGGTGGCGCACGCACGCACACACATTTAGGGCATTTCATGTCCTGAAATAGAAAAGAAACGGGGCGTTTGTCATGGCGACGCGAATAGCGCATTCATCATGTATCGCTTTTGAATTTATCAGAAACAAAAAACTATTATCCGTTCTTTCTCTGTTAACATGATGAAAGAATCAGTTGTCATTGAAGCATATGTCGTCATCAGTTGTATAATAGCTTTTCAGAAACTATTCATGATTTTCTCAAAACTGTTTTAGAACACGAGGAAAGAAAGTGCTAAAGAAACTAATTTATGTTTGTTGTACTAACAATGTTGATGATTATTATTCTTTTTTAAATTTGCGTTTGTAGTTGAGATTTTGGATGCAAGAAAATGTAAATATTTTTAACTCTTCATGTACATAAAATAGTATGTCTATAAAAACAACAAAAGAGCATTCAACGTCATATTTGGCTTTGAAGACAGCAATACCAAGTCATGTTGATCTGATATTGCGATGTTAAGGTTTGATAGTTGATCTTCTCTGATATATACCTACCATGCATGTCATATTCACCCTCAGGAGACAAGCTGGCTTCGCCAAAAACAATCACAGGAACAACAGTGTGGTACAAGAGCGCATGGTCTCCACTGTAAATCTCTGTTTCCGGCTCGAATTCAAATAGATATTGCATTCGTAATATACTGGGGTATTACTAATTCTAACACCACGATTAGACCCGCGGTAAAATCGGTGTCCAGTAACTAAGTGAATGTAGGGATCAGGCTCGGTGATGGATTGCGTGGACATGATCAGGCTAGCTAAACACAAGCACCTAAACACTCCAAAGGTAAGGTCCAAAACACAACTAAAGTACCCGTATCAAACATCACCATCGAATAACCATTTCTCCCACCTACTAGTTTTAGCTGGTAGGCTGTTTCAGCGTCCACTATGCGGTAAAGTCCTAAACAGGACTATGTTACACTTACAAACACAATGATACATTCGTATGATAACACGTGACATAGCGAAGATACTTCGCACTTGAATTGATATGTAATCAAATGCTCTCCATATATGTTTACTACCATTATAACAGAATGAAAGGACAATCATGAACAATGCAACACTCACGGATCTGTTACACCAGTTCGCGGCCTATTCCCTCGACCCCTGCTCAGACCTAACCACTGATAGCGACAGATGCGCCCTAGTTTACTGAAGATAATTTTAAACGTTGTTATTTTTCAAATGCCAGCTTAAGTTGGGATACCACAACAGCTGGCAAGTTTGACCATGTAGTCACAATCTGCCAAACATTGTATGAGTTTCATAGCATATGTTGTAATTTTTTTCAAATAATAAAACGCTCTTATTATTCTGCTGCAGAAAGAGATAATAAAGTTCGTATCAGTCTGGTGCGAAAGGACACACTGCTCCGTCCAGGGAATAATGGCGCCGAGTGTGGTAAGTGACAACACTGGCTCTAGATCTATCCAAGTTTTACGAGAAGAGAAATTAAGGTATCTCATATCAGAGGGTTGATTAGCGCTGACGTTGTTCAAATACTTTGACACAAGCAGTGATTAAACTCAATGCTTACTTTCGTTAGATATGTGCCCAACACTCCTAATTTTGTATTAAACTTTCTTGCGATATCTTGTCATAAGTTAACGTCCATATGAGTGGACAGTTAATAACTTTGTGTGATTTGAGAACCACGTGCTGCTGCCAGATGTCACAAGGACCAACTTAAGAACCATATATATGTCGTAAGGGACCGACCATTTTATATTCTAGGGGGCCTGGGATTGGATCGGAAAAAAAAGAATAATTTTGAAAATAAATAATTAAGCTTCAGACCGTTGAATATATTTTCAGGCTCCTACTTCTACTTTAAAAAATATATGTGTAAATAATATCCACCACCCCACCCCACCCCACATCACCCACTCCACCCCCATCCCCACCCACCCAACCCCACCATAATGGACAGTCCTTAATTGTTTGTACACATTATGCTCTTGGCTACCTGGAATAGATAAATGATTGTTGATAATGCATCATGGTTCAGTTCATGATTGTTTCCATCTAGCAAGTGTCCTATCCGTCAAATGTCTTGATGCAAGGTAACTGTTCTCCAAAGGTACAATCTCTTATAACGATAGCGATACACTGGATTTTTCACCCGTTTAGGTGAAGGAAAAAACACTCTAATGTCATGTAAGGCAGTACTGACCTATGGCATCACAGATTGCAACTCTTGCTTTATCTATCAATATTCCAGCAATATCACGGCGGGGGACACCAGAAGTGGGCTTCACACATTTTGGGAATCGAACCCGGGTCGTCGGTGTGACGAGCGAAAACTTTAACCACTAGGGTACCCCGCTGCCCCTCTCATTCATAAAATGCTATTGTTTAGAAACTGCATACAGAACACAATAAAGCATTATTAGAAAGTAACCTGACAAAATCATTTTAATAATCATAAGAAATTCACTGTACTATTCACACTATATCAGAATATAAAACGTCAAGGCCAGAGAATAAACAGTCTCGTGTATCTGTCGAAACTGATTCAACTAGGAGTAAGAGGCAAAAGAGTGATGAAATATATGAATGGATCACTAAAATGCAGTGATGACACAAAGTGATCGCGACAAGAGTGAGCATGTCTTGCCCAATCGGTATATTGTCCGGCTGTAGATGTACAAATGAAATTGACTTTGAACACTGGGCATAGCCATGCCTAAAATGTCACACACTGGCCCTATCACATTTCGACTAATTGGGTTTCAACGTTCGAAAAAATAAACACACTAAGCATGATCTGTGAGTATGACCTCCGAAAGAATCTGTACTGAATTATACACTCAAGGTAAGGAACATGGATTTGGAGCTATAATCACACAGCTGTATGTTTATATATTCCAATGGTTTTTTCGCAAACCTTGTGGGATCCCAGGTCAGACAATGTTACCAGTATGTGATGCTTACATTTGCTTCTCTCAGCATAGTTTAACTTAATGCATTTAACGTTCGCCTGAAACGTATATTATCCGTTCACTGCTACGGATTTAGATTCAGATTCATTTATTTACTCAAAACCACCCACAGTGCTACAAGAGTACAATATATAATTAACATTAGATAAATATACAAAGGACAATCTGTGACATACATACATTGCATGTTTTTAATTTATATCAGGATGAAATGTGTTAGTACTCATTCATAAGTATAACGGTAAATTTACATAAATTTCGCAAGCGTTAAGTGATGTTGTTCGAAAAGAGTTTTGCCAACTTATGGGCATTGGGGAACTTATAATATTCGGGAATGTGCAGAGAGCCAAGAATTCACATCTATATAAATAATTATATATATCGTCAGCTGCTACAGAGAGGTACATTGTTGACACGTCCGTTCTTCTCTGTTTCTACCGGGAATCTATGATTACAAGTTCTAAATTCAATAGAGGGATGGATATGTTTTGGTTAAGTAAGAGCTGTTTTCTAAAGGAGAGCTCGGGTTTGATATACTGATATAGACTGCCTCCCGGACTAGATATGGTAAAGCATCGCCATTCTTGAGGAAACTGGTCCTGGTATCTTTAATACGGTTTGTGAGCCATTCAGTGGTAACTGAACAAGGATGATCCTTCCATCGACATACTTTAAACGAAGTGGCATTCTTCCAAAAATCCAAATTCGCAATATTCATGACGTGTTTGAAAATGTTTCATCTTCTTGTTGACATTTTTAAAGATTTTAGTCGTAATTTCTCAATCATTTCGACATTTTGATATCGCCATGTTTCGCAGTCATATGGGAGAGTTTGTGTTACCTATACGTCGAAGGCTGAAAACAAACAGTCTACAGGAATATATTTCTTGCTTTTCTGAATAAATAACTTCGCCTCTGAGCCATGTTGTGACACACCTTTGATTGCACTTAGTAAACGCCGGCTCATATAAAGGTTAATTCCAAGGTAATTTGTAATCGCTAAAGCATTCGAGTTCATTTTGACCGCAAGCCAATTTCAAGTTTTACCTTTAGAAGCCTCAGACCCAAATATGCCAATGTTACTCTTTTTACTGCTCACCTGATACCGCGCGCTTCCCGTGGCACTTGCTACGTTGACATAGACCCAGTATCCCTGAAAGAACTGTGCCTGTGTTGGTGACATGGGACACGATGCTGTCTTGTGTGGTTGTGGTTAACATCATTCGAGTGTGGCCTGGCAGATTGTTTGACATACGGCCTAATCCGATCATTGACCCCGGCTTGGACCGCGCCTAAGTTTCTAAACAAATCGAATGTTGAGGATAGCTTACTATCACCGTATATTCAAAGGGATCTTCTCACAAGTGTACAAAATGCAGACTGACACGCAAGCTGTCCACAAGTCATTGATTGATGTGCATCTGTATAACATGATGAGTTCATAAAAAATGAAACTAAGACCATCGAGGCGTTATATGCATCTGTTGTCACCATCCCGTATTGTCAGCAGAAGTATTCGTGTCACTGGATAATACTGTAGATTATGCAACATGCAGTTACGCATGTGTTGTTATCGTTAATGATTATTATCATGTCTAGATATTTTGGCACGATATTAAAACATAATTTGCTTTTCGACTTAAGCATGTGTGCCATATGGTCGCTGCAGAGGTAAGGTGGTCGTCGGTGCGTGCCGTTTGGTCGCTGCATATGTAAGGTGGTCGTCGCTGTACTTATGAGATAGTCGTCGATTTATATATCGGATTATTTCAGATAGTCGTTGCTGCATGTGTCAGATGGTCGTCGCTACATATGACAGATGATCGTCGCTGCATATGTCAGATGGTCGTTGATGCATGTGTCAGATGATCGTCGCGGCATATGTCAGATGATCGTCGCTGCAGGTGTCAGATGGTTGTCGCCACATGTGCCAGCTGATCGTCGGTGCATGGGTCAGATGATCGTGGCGGCATTCGTCAGATGCTTGTTGATGCAGGTGTCAGATGGTTGTCGCTACATGTGTCAGATGATCGTCGCTGCAGGTGTCAGTTGATCGTCGCTTCATGTGTCAAATAATCGTCGCTGCATGTATCAGATGATCGTTGCTGCATGTGTCAGATGATCGTCGCTGCATGTGTCAGATGATCGTCGCGGTATATGTCAGATGATCGTCGCTGCAGGTGTAAGATGGTTGTCTCTACATGTGTCAGATGATCGTCGCTGCAGGTGTCAGTTGATCGTCGCTTCATGTGTCAAATAATCGTCGCTGCATGTATCAGATGATCGTTGCTGCATGTGTCAGATGATCGTCGCTGCATGTGTCAGATGATCGTCGCGGCATATGTCAGATGATCGTCGCTGCAGGTGTCAGATGGTTGTCGCTACATGTGTCAGATGATCGTTGCTGCATGTGTCAGATGATCGTCGCGGCATGTGTCAGGTTGTCGTCGCTGCATGTATCAGATGTTCCTCGCTGCATGTGTCAGATGATCGTCGCTGCATGTGTAAGATGATCGTCGCTGCAGGTGTCAGATGATCGTCGCGGCATATGTCAGATGATCGTCGCTGCAGGTGTCAGATGGTTGTCGCTACATGTGTCAGATGCTTGTTGATGCATGTGTCAGATGATCGTCGCGGCATTTGTCAGATGATCGTCGCTGCAGGTGTAAGATGGTTGTCGCTACATGTGTCAGATGATCGTCGCTGCAGGTGTCAGTTGATCGTTGCTTCATGTGTCAAATAATAGTCGCTGCATGTGTCAGATGATCGTGGCTGCATGTATCAGATGTTTCTCGCTGCAAATGTCAGATGATCGTCGCTGCATGTGTCAGATGATCGTCGCTGCATGTGTCAGATGATCGTCGCTGCATACTTCAGCTAGTCGTCACTGCAGGTGTCAGATGATCGTCGCTGCATGTGTCGGATGATCGTCGCTGCAGGTGTCAGATGGTTGTCGCTGCATGTGTCAGATGATCGTCGCTGTATGGGTCAAGAAGTCGCTGCATTTGTCAGATGATCGTCGCTACATGTGTCAGATGATCGTCGCTGCAGGTAAAAAAATAGTCGTTGCATGTGTCAAGTAGTCGCTGCATGTGTCAGATGATCGTCGCTGCGTGTGTCAGATGATCGTCGCTGCATGTATGTTGCGGCATTTGTCGAATGGTCGTTGATGCATGTGTCAAATGATCGTTGCAGCATGTGTCAGTTGGTCGTTGATGCATATGTCAGATGATCGTCACTACATGTGTCAGATGGCCGTTGCGGCATGTGTCAAATGATTGTTGCAGCATGTGTCAGATGGTCGTTGATGCATATGTCAGATGATCGTCGCTACATGTGTCAGATGGTCGTTGCGGCATCTGTCAAATGATCGTTGCAGCATGTGTCAGATGGTCGTTGATGCATATGTCCGATGATCGTCGCTACATGTGTCAGATGATCGTTGCGGCATGTGTCAAATGATCGTTGCAGCATGTGTCAGATGGCCGTTGATGCATATGTCAGATGATCGTCGCTACATGTGTCAGATGGTTGTCGCTGCATGTGTTTCATTATCGTCGTTTCATGTGTCAGATGATCGTCGCTTCATGTGTCAGATGATCGTCGCTGCAGGTGTCAGATGATCGTCGCTGTACGTGTCAAATAGTCGCTGCATTTGTCCGATGATCGTCGCTGCATGTGTCAGATGATCGTTGCTGCATGTGTCAGATGGTTGTTGCTGCAAACCTCAGATAGTCGTCGCTGCATGTGTCAGATGATCGTCGCTGCATTTGTCAGATGATCGTCGCTGCATATTTCAGATAGTCGTTGCTGCATGGGTCAGATGGTCGTCGCTGCATGTGTCAGATAGTCAATGAATGGGGGAACATAACTATTCACTCAATGTTATCAATCTCTTCGTTTTTGAGAGGATCTTTAATTTTTTTCGAAATATATTTTCTATAGATCGCGAAAGAAACAGCCTATGATAAGCATATGCTTGCAAAATAATTCAGCTTTGTTTGATAAGCGGTTCTGGAGAATATGAAAAGTTGTTATCAGTAAGTTACCCAGGCTGAAATGGACTTCACGCCGGGCGTTTGTGATGTACACTCAACAGTCAACACTAATTCCAGTGGACTTAAAAGGATAAATAACCCTCTAGATACTGACGAGGCCTGCCTGCTCCATATCAACACCGCTAATCCTTCAGCAACTTGACACTGGGTACTCAATGTGCTTCATCCGATAGCTTTGTGGTTAAGTGACAACTTATCTAAAGCCACGGAAGTGTCCACTCAGGTTTCAGATATGTGAATAGGGTAAACATTATGTTATTCAAGCATGTTGTACCTCGCAGAAGGCGGCTCCGGCTCGGGGTCATTGAAACACTCAATTTACACGTCACGTTAACCCAAAGGTTTCAAATTCAGATAACAGTATTGTGATAATAAAAATTACCTTGTAAACAATTATTTCCTTTTTGGTTGTACCATTTTTAAATATAGAGATATATTTGTGTGACAAACCTTGTCTCATGAACTATCAAGTTCTGTTTAATAGTAAAATATGTTCAGGTTAGTAGTTATCCATGGCCGGTTAGATATTCCTCAGCCTGCGGTGTGAAAACCATTTACATATAATGGGGCGATTCGGCAGGTCATACGGACAAGCCAACCAGACAAGAAGAAACATATAAATAACTGAAGACGGGATAAAGACCATCTGATTGTATTTAATCCACCCGTAAAGATCCGGGTTGTGATTGGTCTTCAGCAACCTATGCATGTGGTAAGAGGGGACTAATTATAACGCGATCGAGCGGTCAGGCTAGCGGACTTGATTATGAATGTCATCCTATTCAAAGTGCTCATGATGTAAAATTACTGCATTGTCTGGTTCAGACTCGATTATTTACATACAGCTGGATTTGTCGCTGCATGTGTCAGATGATCGTCGCTGCAGGTGTCAAATAGTCGCTGCATGTGTCAAATAGTCGCTGCATGTGTCAGATGATCGTCGCTGCATGCGTCAGATGATCGTCGCTGCATGTGTCAGATGATTGTCGCTGCATGTGTCAAATGATCGTCGCTGCAGGTGTGAGATGGTCGTCGCTGCATGTGTTAGATACCGCGCGCGGCCGACCGCGACTTAACACGAATGAGTGCGCGACCTTCATACGTTCTAACACGATTTAAGGAAAAACGTTAAATCGTGTTCATTCGTGTTCAGATTCGTGAATGTGACATAGGGTGTGAAAAGTCGTGTTCAGTCGTATGAAGGTCGTATGACAGTCGTGTTCAATCGTATGAAGATCGCGTTCAGTCGTGTTGGGGAGCGTGGGAAGAGACTCATACGACCTTCATAGGTTTTAACACGATTCAACACGACTTTCATACGCCTTTCATACGACTCCCATACGCCTGAACGCGAAATCCATACGTTTGTCATACGACCGGAAGAGCCCATCACGTGACTGAGTGAGAACGTGGGAAACCCCCTGAAAGTGAAAGCTCATTCTACAGCCATGCCAAACCTCAGGCAGCCGAAACGGAAGCTCAACAACCATGGTCGAACCCAGAATCTCTTCCTGTTCCTCACTCTGCGACGCCTACGCTGTCTCCTACTCCTCACCATCAAAGCCATAGCTACCAGAAGTACATGTACTTCCTCCTCCTCCAAATTGAAGCTGCTTCTTGCGGGTCTTGTTCGTTGTTGAACATGGTGAAGACTGACACAGAAATGCTGTTGCAATGCAGCTTATATACTACATGACCGACGTGACCAAAATAAACAAAAATATGTCGTATGAAGGTCTTGCTCAGACGTATTGAGATCGTGTTTATTTTTGTAGTCGTATGGACATCGTAATGATTCGGGTTTAATCGTATGGCGGTCGTGTTGGTTCGTGTTAAGTCGTATGGGCGTCGTATGACAGTCGTGTTTGGTCGTATGACAGTCGTATTGGGGTCGTATTAAATGAGGTTAAATCGTGTTGTATCGTATGAATATCTTATGACGGTCGTATGAGTGTCGTGTTCAGTCGTATGAAGGTCGCATGAGGGTCGTATGAGGGTCGTTTTGGGTCGTATGAGGGTCGTGTTTGGTTAAGAAGTTTGCATAAACCACAAGGTCGAGCACGAATCAACACGATTTTTCAACTTTTCTTAAATCGCGTATGTGAGATACATGTAGGGACTTAAGCCTGCATACCGCTCAGTGCCGCACTGTGATGACGTCGCGGTTTCAAAAACATATACATTGTATCAAAAGTGTTACAACGTTCTTATTTCTTCACACAGTGTAATTATAAGCAAATTGTATAACATGCAACTCGAGTTGATTGTCTTTCCATCAGTATTAGCTAAAGTCACAAAATCCAAAAGATGTATGCACTGCCTAGCCCTCGATTAAAGTGCTTGTATTTAAAGTTTCCTACTTTTCTACATTAATCGTAATATGGAAGCACCAGAATATGGCAAGTAAAGTCAAGTTAGCGCCTTTGTTTGAAATCTAAATGTCAAATAATTCATATCATTGGCAAGTACATATCCTAACGGTGATAGACATATGACATTCATGTTGAAGTACACATTCACTGAGAATTTTCCGTGAGTTATATTTAGCGAAAAAAAATCCCGATGAAATTGTCCGTGTTTTTTTACGTTAAAACTTAATTGACTGAAGTGGTCGTGATTAGTTCAACGCATACTGTCTCAAAGATTACGTCGCAATACGTATGGCAGTTTGGAGTGTATATCTTGACGAAATCCCGGTAACGTCCATATATGTTTCAGTGACCGTGCTCTTTTATTAGTGAAAGAAACAACTTCGGGGTAATTGACATCGTACGTTTTCAAAGGACAATATGTGACAGATCGCTAAACAGCCCTAACATTACTCAAATTGACATCGCTCAATATCGGACATCATTATTATTTCTTAATAATTAATAAAATTACTAACGTAATACCATCCAAGAGTAGGTATACATGTAGTTTCAATCACAATCGTTGAAACGTTTTCATGGGCAGCAAATCTATTCAACAAACCTTTTTTTCGCTCACTCGCAATTCGGGCGCCATATGTCATGGCTTCGTTGTGCAATCACACAGACCGCTCATTGATACTTAGGGTGTCATGATGTGTTGTTAATGGTTTAAATCTAACTTATAAAAAGCTTGAAACGAGATGTAATTGGACAATTTTAATACTTGAATTTGAAAGCTCAAGAAGAGCAGATATCGAGTAGGCGATATTTAATACAAGGAAACGATAACTTGCACAGTACAGGTGAAAGAAGGCAATATTATTGTTTTACGGTACAGTTATAAATAATATCTAGATTAAGTGAAAGAGAAAATGCGAAAATTTCGATTAAAGTTGGGTTCAATGTATATACAGTTCATGTGCTCAAAACAAATTTGTTTCACTATATGACCGCTAGAAAACATACATCCTCGTCTCAGCTAGTGTTTCGCACTTGGCTTTCATACTCTTAGACCATTGCTCAAAATATACTTCAATTTGTATGGCCAGTCCATGAAATACAACATTTTCTTTCAAATTGTTTTATAAATACGACTTTAGAAGAGTATTTACACCTAGGTATGTATACATGTATGTTTAAGGACATACGTGATAGTTTCTGTCCAGTAGTTTCCTATTCCATCTCATTTTTCTAAAGGAAAAGTTTGAAATACATAATGATCGTAGGTCAATGAAAGTAATGGAATTATATATTTGTCATAAAACGAAAATTTTAATATATATTCACCCACGTCACAACCACCACGTTGCGGACTAAACGTTGGTTGTCTAAAGCCAATAACTGTACAGTGGGGAAGAGTAAATCTTTCTGACAAGTCTTATAGATTTCTTTTTTTCAATATATAATAATAGTTTCGTGTATGTGACATGGGTGCATAATAAAAATATCGCCGTCATTCACATGAAGTGCAACATGGCAGAAAAAGGTCGAGAGGCGCGGTAACAACTTTACTGATCTCGCCATATTTCGCAATCTGTAGCACTGCATACAATATGAGTTACACGATATTAATGCTGAGATGATTAGGGTGATGATGGTTATAATTTTATTCAATGCACGTCATAAATGCAATGGAAATATACACTGTCGTTTTCTCATGTGTACCGACCATTACGCCATTACCGATGGTCGATAAAAATCTACAAAACGTGTAAATAAACCTGTTCGTAAAGGAGCCAACAGAATTGTATTTACGTGAATAAATAAGTATACATTTGGGATAGATATGTCTTTCTGATCACTCAGGTCATATTATATCTCATGAACAAGGATTTTTTTGTGAAAATATTTACGTGCTATGACATGGATGCTTAATAAAAATTCGCCGTCATTCGTTTGGTGTTCAGACATGGCAGAGAAATGCCGAGAAGCATGGTAGCCACTGTACTAATCTCGCCATATTTCGCAATCCGTAGCATTGTATAAAGTATGAGTTGCAAGATTTTAAAGCTAAGATGATTGGGGTGATGATGGTTATATTTTTTACTTTGCACACTTAGTGTTTGATATAAAAATTTACAGCTGAAAAAGGGCATTTTCTCGGGACCAAATGTGGTCCCTTGGCACTACGCGTGTGCGAAAAGTGAGGGACCATATATGGTCCCGTGGCACCATGAGGGTTAAATGTGTTGGATTAAATGACGACTTGAGCATTATTTTATTTTTGCCACAGTGCATCAAATCCCCCTAAACGGCAACGTAAATAGTTTCATGAAACTTAATGTCTTGGTCACCGATATACAACTTTATCTTAAACGCCATGCATGCTCTCCATCATAATTCAAAGTGAGGGAGCGAGTGAGTTGGGTTTACCGCCGCTTTGAACAGTATTCTAGTTATGCCACGGAGTGTCAGCAAAATATGGGAAGAAAGCCCGAGGTGATTCAGGTCTCAGACGTTTACCACTTTGATGAAACCTACAAGCAAGGATATGGTGCGGACAACCTAGAAACATAATCGGGGAGAACCGGGATTCGAATCGACGATCAACGTTTCTGGCGCGCCGAAAGGGACGCAACTCTGCACAGCGAATTGCGGCGCCTTTGTAAATCCGTGTCCCCTTAATTATACTTCAAAATGCACCAACATGTTTCCTGAGATGTTTCCCGTGTTGTTAAACAAATTTGAGTCGCATTGATTTTCAGTCGTATTAGTTTGGAGACGCATTAATTTCAAGATTTACAGTAACTTACTGTTTGGGTATGTTTGTGCTAATGTAATCTAGAATCATAATTAGTGTACTTGCACATGTTTCTGATCGCTTGATAAGTTTGAATGAAATGTTTGTTAGTAACATAGACTGCATTGCTATTGGAGACAGGTAATTTTTGATAGAATTTAGCAGAATTTTCTGCAGTAAAAAACTGCTCGAAACGCCATGAAAATACACATATGATCAACATATCTACATTGAAGAGATAGTTCTTGCATTGTTAAGTAAATTAGACTTTGTGAGTTATTGCCAGACTTTGTGGGTGAAACTATAACAATCAATGTGGCATTGAAATACATGTATTTTACTAAATGAGAATCACTTTAGATGTATCAGTGATTATGTTTTAAATATAGTGTTTTCATGTGCTCGGCAGAACTGATGGCAAAGTATGCAATATTGCATAATAGGGATTACAAGTCAACTTTATATGCATGTGGACCGCCTCCCAGGTCTTGTGGTAGAGCGTCTGCCCGGGGAGCGGAAGGTCGGGGCTCGATTCCCGGCCGCATCATACCAAAAGACCTTTAAAGATGGTACTTGTTAGTTACCTGCCTGGCGTTCGGCATTTAGGGGCTTAAACAAGGACTGGTCGGCCCGGAGTCAGGATATTGTGTCTGAGTGGGTATTCATGTTTGACTGCAGCATGGTATCTTAGTGGGCAAGCACTATAAAATCGGCCTTAGTCCTGATTAGTACAGCCACACACACACACACAGCCACACACACACACACCACACCACACACACACACACACACAAACACACACACACACGCTATATAAGAGCAATAAAGCTTGAACGCGACGCTAAAACCGACATCATTTAACCTTATATGCATGTGAGTGAGTTAGATTTAAGGCCGCTTTAAAAAATGTATTTCAGTGATATCATGTCTGGGCATCAGGGTGCATCAAGAAGAAGACTGCCATGCCTCATGTAAAGGGGTTTGATCCTCAAAGCAATATATATTTACCCATATTACTCGTTTACGTTAGGGGCCCGTGGTTTGAATGAGGAATAACAGGTATGGGTGTATCGTAGAATAGATTTTTGTCCGTTGCTCAATGATGGTCCAGACCCACTCAAAGTTTCGAGTAAAAACATGTACTGTTTTGTATTTGGATAGGTCTTTAATGGTCATCACAGATGCATATTTCAATTATTACAGCCTAAAATCAGAACTTCGTTGATATGACGTCTTTTTCTTTCACTTCGACGATGCTGAAAAGGAAAGATGAAGATGTAGGCATTTACATACTACTTAAGTCTTTGACAAATGTCTTCAAATACAATTTTATTGCTCACCAAGAAGAAACGTCAGAGAAAGCTGTTAGCTATTAGTTATTGGCTAGTGTGATGGAAATCTTTTCAGATGGTATATATATTTTTTCAACCTGTTTGATCTCTGATCGTGAGGGCGATGGTGCTTCAGGTTTTATCTTATAATTGGTTGTCCAGACAAAAAGCCCTCGCGTGAAACGTCTACCTCGTACCGTGTAAGCTTCGAGACATAAATATGTTCCGAAGATTTTACAGGATATAGGCATGTTAGTCCGATTTACATAAACCACAAGAACGGGGTATTTGAATCACATCATCTCACTTCACGGTTGGGACTACTCATCAGTGTTTATCCTGACGTAACAACTAATCAGAACACCATTGTCAACATTGACAGATGACAATAAAACAAGTTTAAAGCATAAGTACAGTCTAACATGTATTGATCCACTGTCTGTATTTCCATCTGATGTGGTATGTTCTTTCTTGTTTGTTACCTTTCAGCTATCGCTAATTACCCAGCAATGGATCTGACTTTCAACTTCTGTCACATATTAATTGCTTCCTGAAAAGGTCGTGTAACATTTCGTATGAAATTCGCGGAGCTATTTGGACCTCACCTCTGCCTCCCTGTAGACATTTGCCACATCAATATCAGTTCGGATACATTCAACGCCAACGGTTAATTTACTTTCGACAAGATACCTTTGTAAAGTGAAACAAAAATCAGGGACAGGGAAGAGAGCCTGAAATCTATTCTGGTTCCAAACACGCGATCTTTCTCAAAACACTAAGAATGCTTGCCTGTCAATTATTGGATAATGAGTCATATATATTAAACAAATCAAAAGAAACTTAGTACCAATTACGTTTTCGATACCATATTCCTTTTTATTATATTCCATCATTTCCATTTAATGATTTTATTGGCAGCGCTTCGAATTACAATTATGTACATGTCACTAACTTACTCCATTAGGTTACACAAGATAAGCCTCATTTTGATTTCCATTTAAGGCCTTTTCCATTCTCAGATTGTGATCATTACACAAATTCCCTCACAAATATACGAGATCAGATTCTAGATTAATAATTTTCTTCTTGATTTCTTCACAACAAAAATATATTGCCCAATGCAAGATAATAATTTTATTTTGCATGTATCTTATGATACCTTTTGTCAGTATTGATCAATTATATGCATATGTTATATCCATTATGAGTATAACTAATTCTATATTATGATGACATTATTTGTATGAGTGACTATGATTTTACGCCGCTTTTAGCAATATTCAAGCAATATGACGGCGGGGGACACCAGAAATCGCATCCGGGTCTTTGGCGTGACGAGTGAACGCTTTAACCACTAGACTACGTATACCCCACCACCCTCACCATCATTTGATCGAAAACTTAAAGACTTTAGTATTTTAAAGTAGTTTTCAGCAGTTTAAAAGTTTTCATGATTATAATGCAGTTGGCTTTGATGCAAATTATATATGATAGCTAATAATAGTCTTTTTTCAGGTTATGAATATCATGTTCAGGGTTTTTTGGCGGTGATAAGGTTCTTTTAAGTGGACATATATATGAGTAAGGTTTATATAAGTACCACTTATCAATCTATCAATACATATTCATATAAATATACCGTCCAAAGTTTTCTCCGTCTTCAATGGTTTCCGGCAAGCATCTGTTGAGAGTTTCTGGCAAAAACAGGGACAGAAGTCCTGCCGCCACAGATGCCGAACCAAATATAATGAGCGGCAACACATGGCCAATGTCCCCGTGAACTACCTTCCCCTGCAAGAAGAGATATCGACCAATTCCAGGTATGTGATCGTGTCATAGTGATTGAGTGAGTTTGGGTTGACGCCGCTTTGAACAGTATTGCAGTTATATCATGGTGTATCAGCTTGATAAAAGTGACAATAAGTGTGTTTATGAATCACTATCAAATACAGTAAAATACGTTTATAACCAACACGTTTATAACGAACTGACGGATATTACGAACTTAATTTTTGGTCCCGGCAATTTTCTGTATAGATGTTGTATATATGCTTATAACGAACTACGGTTATAACGAACTATAACTAGTGGTCCATTTGAGTTCGTTGTAACCGTAGTTTACTCTTGTGCAAAGGTGAACCTATCCTGTGTGAAAACACATGCAAAGTCAAGTCCATTGTTCACCTAAAAAGACTCGGGAACATATGGTACAAATCAAAATAGGGAATTGCATTGGATATCATTTTTGTCACCGATGCGTCAAATTTGGAAATGCCCTACACACGTCTACCAAACACTTTTTGAAAGCTTTATTGAGGCCTTGAAACAGCAGTTTGTCACCATGAATCCCTATGCATACACCTAAATAAATAACAGATATGGGGTGACATAGACGATTCCCTGTTTTGTTAATAACATCAGTCCATAAGTATCTTAACACACCATCATGACTTACCAAATCTGCTATATAAGGAGCGATCATGCCCCCGACACGTGCCCAGGAACCGCTGGCCCCCATGGCTGAATTGCGCACAACTGTTGGGAAGAGCTCCGCCGAGAAGACATAGATGATGGCAAAACCTCCAGCAGCTCCTAACTTGCCGACCATGGCAAGTAGAACCGTCGCCCACTGATGGTCTGCACATTGATTTGATATGGGTCATTATCTCAATCATCATTTACAAATTACTTCATTCCTTCCTTTTAGCTTATCCCCATTTAAGAATGCTTTTGGCACTATTCAAATAGTGAAACACCGAAAATGGGCATCTCATATTGTATCCAATTGAGGAATACAACCCGAGACGCTTTAAACCACAATGCTAAATCTATATTTTACCCAAACCCTATTTAATAACTTTCCTAAATTGGAATCAAGATTTGTTAAAAGTTTTTTGAAAACGTCCGAGTGGTGTTGTTTGAGGGATTACAAATCTAAAGGTGTCCATTATTCCAGGTGTATTAGGGTCCGTATTCTCTTCTCCCTTTCCACTAACCTTTATCTAGATAGAGGACCGTGAACGTTGTGAGGAGACAGGACACGCCCCCAAGGATCATGCTGCCACAATGGAGAGCCTTCCTCCCAACCCTGCCCAGCAGCAGGATGCAGATCGTGTAGGCAGGGAACTCAACCAGGCCAGAAATAAGGAAGTTGACATACAAGCTTCCTGCACCCAGGTTGTCGGTGTTCAGGGACAGTCCGTAGTAGACCATGCTCACTACCATCCTGAAATCGCAATTCAAAATTCTAGTTCCGCTTGCAGTACATGTGATATGTGTAAATAATATAACTGGTACTAACATCTATAACAAAGCCAAATACGCGAAGCAAAGTCAAAAATACAAAAAGTCACAAATGTGCATGTACAGGTGTTTGGTGATCATTTGTGAAATATGTTCATTAGAACAGGATTGGGCATGTTTCTATTGCTGCCAATTCCATTAAAATACTGCGTAGTGATCTACTTCAATCTGTCTGTGGTTTTGCCAATAGCGAAGGAACTATTTCGTAATTGTACTTTGTGAATTTATAGCAGCAACCCTGGTCAAATGCATAAACAAGATAGGAACAGATCCCGTTGTTTACCATACACATGATTCGTCACCACTCTTTGAGTACCTTCGGACCGGCCGGCGCCAGCCAATCAGAATGTCAGGATTGGTGCACTTTGATCAGTACTTTGACAGTAAAATATAGGCACGTAAGGTATATTATTTACAGACGTTTGTTGCATAAATCGAGGTTATTACTTTAATGACCCTACTTAATGACCATTTAGGGTGAAATAGATTCATATGCACACGTGCATTTGTTTACATTCTGGAGACGAGTCGCTTGACTGCAACTATTCGCACTTTTACTCTAAATTTCATTTTATTATCTGTTTCCGATTTTTATCAAACGTATAAACACTCTTCAAAAAAAGAATCGTACAGGTAGATTTTTAGTAAATTTATTGTACCTAATAAAGACGATATATTGAATTTAATATCATAGATACAAATATGAAATTTTGGAGCTCGATAGTCACATGTTGTCGTTGTACAAAGGCATTGAAAACTGTTCATTGTCATTGTCACATAAGGCCACAAGACTGCGCTGAACTCGGTATCTTGTGTGACTGCCCCGGGCAGCAATCACGGCTCTGCATTTCCTCGGCACTGACTGGATAAGTGTACGAATTCTGTCCTGCGGAATTCTGCGCCATTCTGTTTGTAACGCGTTGGCCAGTTGTGGGGGTGTCTGTGGCGTGTTCTGACGTTGACGTACACGTCGATCGAGTTCATCCCAGAGGTGTTCGATTGTGTTGAGATCTGGAGATCTCGACGGCCAGGACAAAGCGTTGTTGTAGGCATTATGAAGGTAGTCTACCGTGACACGAGCCGTGTGCGGTGGAGCTTTGTCCTGTTGAAACAGCTCCCTCTGGCGGTCAATGAATCGAAGAAGGTGAGGTTGAAGAATTTGATTCATGTAGCGATTTGCTGCCAAATTTCCCTGAAACACAACCAAGTCAGTTCTCGTGGTGTAGGTTATGGCCCCCAACACCATGACACTCCCGCCACCGAATTCGTCGAATTCACGTACACAATGTGGGGCAAAATGCTCATTTCGACGACGATAAACACAATGTCTTCCATCTCGCCGGTGAAGAAGAAATCGTGATTCATCGCTCAAGGTATGGCGCCAACGCAAGCGTCGCTGTCGATGAAACAGGGACGATAACTGGTCTTCTGGGTCGGATTCCAGCCTCGCGAAGATGGTTCCTGACAGTCTGGTCCGATATCTTTCTCAAACCAGGGATGCTTCCTGCAGTCTCCGTAGCTGTAGCATTGCGATGACGTAGGTGGAAGAGTCGAATGTAACGATCCTGTGCGGGGGCTGGGGCGCAACTCTTGGTCGGCCGGTTCTCGGACGGTCTCCAGTGGAATGGAACTGTGTGTCTCGGTCCCAAAGGCGGCAAATAGTGCTGTGGTGGACGTTGAAGTGGCGTGCAACAAAAGACTGCGTTTCCCCACTTTGGACACGTCATATGGCGATGTTCCTACATGAAGGCCTAAAAAGTGTGGCATCGCTGTTGTCAACTATTCAAATGGATGCTACGACTAACTGAAGTACAAGGGAACAACGGGAATTTGTAAACAGGGGAATCACAGACAGCTGCAACCAGAGTACTCCATTTGTCTTAGTATACCATCTCTCACTTTGGTATCGGTACCAAAAGCATGAAACGTCAACGACCGCTTCATACGGTAATGTTATGAGTGAGTGAGTGAGTATGGTTTTACACCGCTTTTAGCAATAATCAAGCAATATCACGGCGGGAATCGAACCCGGGTCTTCGGCGTGACGAGCGAACGCTTTAACCACTAGGCTACCCGACCGCCCCGGTAATGTTATGGTGTCAGTCATGAACTATGTAAGTTTTGAATAACAATGTCAAGCAAGGGAAAGAAAAAAATCACAACTAAATTTAGGAAATTTATGAAGGAAATAATTTTAAAGTCAGACATGCCTTTGTACGCCTTTTTATATATAATCAAATAATACCAAAAAAATAGGATATTGTCAGTTATGTTAGTGAGTTTTATTCCTTTCGTCTGCTGCTGTAATGTTAATATTACTATTGAAATCAAACATAATAATACGTTTTGTCATATAATGGGTAGGTTTCTCGACAGGATAAAGCCAACGGATAAAAACGATATCCGTTGGGGTCAAATGCGGATAGAGATGCAAATATGAAAGGTCAAGTAGAGACTACTTTAAGTGTTTATAAACAAACTTGGAGTCGCCCTTGTCATTCGGCGATCGAGTCAGAATTAACCATCGGGAATCTGAATATACTACAAGGATACTTGCTATCATTATCAAAAGAACAGTCTAATATACTTAAAATCAGTGTCTAACTGTGACGAAGCTAAGGCATTTTATAAGTTTTGGCAACAAACAAAATTCGAAACAATTTTGCGAAGGCACCAGGCCCAGCCAAGCGGGATAAGTAGCCATATTTGTGCTTGTAGACCTCTGCGGCTTGGAACCTTTTCAACAGATTAAAATAGCTGGATTTGGCCGAAATATGTTTGAATTGTTACCTTGTTTCGTTTTGTCGCTGTGTGTACATCTGTTTGCACTTCTTAACGTTATGACAGGACAAGCCGACTGTCAACAACGTCTGAACGTGGCCGTGAGGTCTCTTAGACTAGGGTTAGAGTAGCTTCCCTTTGACAAAGGGCAGTTACTCTAGCGGACAGACCGATGGATTGCCGCGAAAGGCAAGTGAAAAAAATTGTTGTTTTGCGTACATGTTGCTTCGCTACTGTATAAGATACAGATTTCATTTGGAACTATATTGGCTACTGTCACTGTCCGACTGACACATCACTTACCCTGTGACGTAATAAATATTAATGCGCGGATTCCAGGAAACTCGCAATGTTTCGGTGATGTTTGTGAGAGAGGGAAAGCGATTTTGAAGCACAGAATTAAAGAATGACATTGTATAATAAAGACGTTATCACGCGAGTGTGTTTGGGGATGGTAAATATCCATCCTATTTTAGGAATAATAAAAATAATGTTTTTTCCTAATGCATGATATTTAACATCCCCAAACACACTCGCGTGATAACCTCTATATCGCTTATTTTTGAAGTAGTCCTCTTATTCCTACACCAAAATGGAATCCTGTTAAATAGTTAACTGACTATGAAAGTGCAGTTTCCACCCTTGCCGAACAAGGCTGGAATTTCCAGTCTCCATCGTACCGCCACGAGTGGCAATTACGAGTTATGTCCCTTCTATGCCCCTTCCACTGACCAATAAGATTCTAACTCTCATATCATTTGCAACTGCTTCAAACGAAATGGCGGCTCCCAGTCAAGACGATCCGAACAATAATCAAGCTCTATATCTTAATAAACCGGGTCTTACCTCGCGAAGTGCATCAAGTCACTTGAGCACCTTGATTAGAAACATGAAAAGATTTGCTTTGGAATCCTTAAGTCGACCGAAATCTGCATGTTGAAATCCATGTTGTTTACGAAATGGATGTTGCGTTCGTTACGCGATTTTGACTGGAATAGTTCGTCAAGGGTGGAAACTCTACTTTTATAGTTATTTAAGGCCCTTGACTTGGGAAAATGTTTACACCTCGAGGTTATGACTTCCTTACAGCTGACTGCAAAACTCACCAATTTAGGAATATTATTAAGCTGCGGATGAGAAGAGCTTGCGATTTGAACATGTCAACAATACTAGCTTTTGTGGTATCTGCTTGTGTGATCTCCTTCTGCTTGTCTGGTATATGTTGGGTGGAATCGCGTTGAAACAAGTGATCAGGCAGCGTGACCTTGTTCATCTTGGCTGCCGTTGTTATGATTCGTTCAGCATGCTTGTATCGCCCTTCGCTGATGAGCCAACGAGGGGACTCGGGGATGCAACTGCAAATGATAAATACCATTTCCAAAAATGTCAGTAATATTCAACACAAACGTAATCCACAAAACGAATTATAGCTCTGTGTACGAAGATTACAAAGAGCGCCATACGACTCTTGCGCAATAGTTCAAGGCCAAAGAAAAGCTTTCAAAAGATGTTATGGTAAACATGAAGAACATTTCCTAATTTGACGTATCCGTGACAAATCCGACGAAATTCCCTTTTCTGACAAGTACCATATGTTCCCATGTTTTAGGTGAACAATTGACTTGCCTCTGCATGTGTTTGCTTCGAGAACACCTGGTATCATCACTATTTGATAGAAATTCATAAATGCTTATGCTATAGTCGTAATCGTAAAGTGCATTTAACAGCGATTTCTTATGATTATGGAAAGGTTTATGTCCCTTTTATGTATGCATTTCACTTAAACTTTGAGACAAATGCCGTTATGGTGAACTGATGCTTGCCAGTGTAACCAACATTGGAAATTAGATGACAGTGTACATTTTGAGTAAACTTCTAAATCTGGATAAATGCCTGCGCATAATAAATTATTGGGGAAATGAATAAAAATACTATGTACGTGACGCTCCAACTAGCTACATTGCATAATCAAACAAAATAATGTCAGACTATTCACAAAACTTTACTCATGGATTCGGTTGATGGAGATGTTTTTTTATAGAGGAACTCCTTGGACTGATGCTATGATTTTTGCTTCACTGATCCTAATTTTCCACAGGGGAGAATACGTCATGATTCAAGAAACCCCTGGTAGACATACCAATAAAACTGTCAAGACTTGTTCTCATATGTCTAATTTGAGTGGAGTACCTATGTAGTTGTCACGGAAACGAACTGACTTGAATTGATTGGAACTGATTGAACAACCACGAGATACGTCAACGCTGGCTCTTCCTCATGGTGTTTAAGAGACGAAATACTGAGGGACACCATCCCACAATGTCCCTCACATCATCTTTTCAAGAGCCATTTGCTCTATGCACATCATGATCAAATACGCCCTAATGAAAACATACCACCAGTACAGCAGGAAGAGAGCCGAAGGTACAGACACTGTTATCTCCAGGTACCGCCAGTCCCTGATAAGGTAAGCGAGTCCGGACAATATCACCAAACCCATGGCAAAGAAATACTCAATGGAGATTCCGATAAGGGCTCTCTTACTTCGGCCCACTATCTCTATACCTGAAAAGCAAATATATTTGAGACGCGCAATGTGTTGGGACATATCTGTGTACAATATTTCCGATTCATACAAATACATGTAGGTTAGACAAGTAATGGGAGAAAAGAAGTCATACGTTAAAAACAAGTGACATCATGTATGTATACGGTGGTGTTATGTTGTTAGTTCTTGACAAGTGGATTGGCAACAATACTAAGTGAATTTGCGAGAGAGTATGTGTTTGGAGCAACAGATGTATCGCTGCAGGTCTCATCTCGAGATGTCAACGATCCAGTTCGTCGAGGCACAATGGCAAACCATTAACCTGATCATTCATTGTCATAACAATATTCTAAATTCACCTTTACAAGACGCGGCCCCGAGGACATGTTCAAAGAGCACAGGCTGCAGGACAGATCATCCATAATTTGAGTTATGTGTTAATTTTTTTTATGTCCCATTGTCACTTTTTTGGTAAAAAATATGGAGCAAAATGTTTGCGATTACGCATCATCGGTCTTAGGATGCCCTATAACCATCATCTTTTTCAATTTAGCTATTCTCCTTTGACCGCAAGGTGCGCGGGCCAAGCTGGTTCAATCCTTAACTAATAATGCATATGGAATGCGCCACACGAGCTAAATGTATAGGTGTTACTGTAACGCTTTTGTACTTAAAGGCGGTTAACCAGAGCAGCCTAAACCTCGGTATCTTAATCTTGTCGCGTAAACAAAATTACGTCTATTGTCCTGTCCTGAAATATGTGTTTCGTGATGCAGTGCTAAATCAGGCATGACAACGACGACTCAATATTCTATCAGCTGATCGTTCTTTCCAGATCATTTTGTTAACGGTGTGCAATCGGTATATAAGACGATTAACTTGCTGTTCGATGTCAACCTTTCCTTGCGTGAAATGGATACTGATTGTCAGTGTATACGTACCCATATGCATTACGGGACAATCATTGAATTTTGGTATTTGTAATATGGTCGGACAATCGATTTTGGTATTTGTATCACGGTTGGTGTGAAAAAGGTTTTAGGAATAGTTAGCGGCAGTTATGATAATGATTTACATTTCACTGACTGAATCCAATTACCTTTGACAAAGCTCATTTTGAATTCCATTAATAAATGATCAATAATGTTATTTATCTTTTTTTTCCATTAAATAGACTTCTACATTGCACTATATTATATTATCTGTAAGCTTGATACTTGTCATACACTTTTGATCGGTCATCGTCAGTATAATCTACATTGATTGCTTTGGTGTTGAATGTGCATTTGTGTCAAAGTATAAATTATTTGAAATTGATAATGTGTTAAATCAAATGGGGAAAACCTTAAAACAGTTGTTTTGAGGTTTACATAGATTAATGATGTTGAATGTATGTCAGGGAACACGCTAGTTACATATATTTATCTATATATACATAATTATGTTTATTGTACTATAATGTAAATTATCTCAGTCTGAAATTGGCTTTAACGTTCGTTTTCTGGACGAGTATATAAATCGAAAATGTAGTGAAACCGAAAATCAGCTGATGGGTGAAACAGACAGGTAATAAACGAAAATACTTACTCATAACAAATGTAATAGGAAACACTCCTCCCATTGAAAATCCATTCACAAAACGTATGACACAGTACACTATGAAGTTGTTAGGTGTCCACGCCAGGCCAAGTCCTCCAGCAAGGCTCAGGATTACAGAAAAATACAGCGCCTTTTTTCTTCCTATTCTGAAACAGGTTACAGATCGATGCACGACTCCATTGAGCTACATGTGGGCAAGGACTACATTTGTGGAATTTGAGGGGAGTTACATTTTCGACGTGTAAAACACAATACTCCGTGGTATTAAGATTCTATACCGTGGTTTATATCGAGTTTTTCATGAGAGGAAATAAGTATTTCTTGGAAGATTTTTTTTGCATTTTCGTAGAAGAAAAACTTGTTCAACGTAACGATATTTTAAAATGTCAAAATTTCTTTACAGATTTATAAGAGTGAAATTTACTTTTAAACAACTAATTGAGTAGATGTACTTATTTCAAAATTCAAATTGTGAGGACTATTCATCAAAAGAATTGTCCTAACAATTAATTAATGATGTACATGTTCCATCAAATATAATATAATAGTATTGAGTCTATATTTTGTACCAGAAGTATATTTAAAGGACAGACTTGTTCTGCTGTGTCTACAACTACATTATACACATTCTTCATGGAAACGGGGTCAATTCTCGTTTCCTTGTCTTACTTGTCGGATATAATGCCGAGTATAAATACGCCGAACAGATAGCCTGCCGTGAAGATCATCTGGGCATGTGATGTGTCCAGGGCCGCTTCACACACCATATCCATCTACACAAAAAATAGTTCGCTCCTGTGCATTGAGTATACAGCTTGGTTTCCCAATATACCTTTTCCTATAGCCTACTCGATATTTGCGTATACTGAAAAGACAGCCATTAAGACTTGGATAGTTTAACAGGTGTGAGGTGAAATGGGATTTAACGTCGCCTTCAAAATGATTGCACTAATATAGCGACGTGTGGCTTTTATAGTGCTAGTCCACTGAGATGCAATGCCTAAGTCTAAAATGAATACCCAACTCAGACACAGTATACTGACTCCGAGCCGACCAGTCCTTGTTTTAGCCCCTTAACACCGAGCGCCAGGCAGGGTAACTACAAGTACCATCTGCTCTCCGGGCGAAAGCTCTGGACAACGGAGGCGGTCTAAAGTTTTGCGTTTATTTAGGTATAAACGTAGACAGCGTTGTGCACACTGCGTGGCTAACAAAATAATAACCTCACAAACTGCATATTTGATCATTAACACACAAACTATAAAGATATACACAGTCAGTGACATCGTTCGGCGCAATGGTTACATCCTGATCGGTGCAATCCTTCCGAATCGGTCGAACCGGTGAAGCCAATCATGCATGGTAACTAACCGCTTGGGACGGGAAACATGTAGAACTGTCTCGTGTTTACAGTTACTGTATTGAATAACAAGTGTATAAATTTAGTACAATTATCTTCCGTGAACACAAAAGTTGTTTATATCATACATTTGGCCATAATTCTCGAAGGGTCTTCAGCAACCCATTCTTGCCGTTAAAGAAGTGAAGGGGCTTACGCCATTATAAACAGTATTCCAGTTATTTATTACCCCGTGAAGATCCGGGTTGGAAGAGGTCTTCAGCAACCCATGCTTTCCGTAAGAGGCGACTATGGCTGTAAGAGGCGACTAACGGGATCGGGTCAAGCTCGCTGACTTGGTTGATGCATGTCATCGATCCCAACTGCGTGGATCGATGCTCATGATGTCAATCACTGGATTGTTTGGTCCAGACTCGATAATTTACGGATCGCCGTTATATAGCTAAGATATTGCAGAGTGCGGCGTTGAACACACAAACAAACACACAAACAAATCATTCTGGAGGGCATTACATTTAACCATAGAAGGAAATTCTCCTCCTCCAGCTGGTGAAATGCAGAGAAGGCATACCGGAGTATACCAATTTGCTTGGCGTGTAAGAATCAACTCTAGGTATGAACACGATCTTCGAATTCTGAAGATGTTGTTATCATGACATTTTTTTGTTTTTAGTTTTGTTCTCTGAGCTGAGCCGCACTCAGCAATATTCCACCTATATGACAGCGGTATGTAAATAATCGAGTCTGGACCAGACAATCCAGTTATTGATCTCATGAACATCGATCCATCCAATTGGGATACCATGACATGCATCAAACGAGTCAGCGAGCCTGACCACCCGATCCCGTTAGTCGCCTCTTACGACAAGCTTAGTCGCCTTTTACGGCAAGCATGGGTTGCTGAAGACCTTCTCTACCCCGGATCTTCGCGGGTCTATCATGACATTTAAGCTTTTCACATGTCTTCTATAAATCTGTGCAGACATCAGAAATTCCATTTTTGTCTGTACGCCCTATTGATACACAGTGGAACGCTCTGCCTTAAGACTGTTAATCTCCAGGTACTGATCGTCGAATATGCGTGAATATTACAACGCGGATCGGTCGATCACTAGTTTCTTATTCTTAACTATATATTATACCGATCGGGATGACACAAGTGCAATAAATGGAACACAAGCCCCGCCCACTCTATTATAAGCCAGTCAGGGACCAGTGGTCCTCAAATGGGCGTGGTGGTCTTTTAGCTAGGTTAATAGAAGCACAAACGCAGGAATTCCTTGTGGTTAGCCGAACAAATGCTATGGAATCAGTTTATTTATATTGCAATACCGAATCCCGTTATAATGTACAAGGGACAAAATTATATGGTAGGATGCTGAACAAACCAATTCTATTAATTGACACGCTATTAACCGTGACATCAGTATATTCATGTGTAATAAGGTATCCGTCTTGAACTTAACGTATTAATCAACTAAACGCAATGGTAACTTCTATTGCCTACAGTGCACTTTGCCTACAGTGTTACCAAAACAACATCATGGTTCAAGGCACACCACGTGTACACCAGCTAGTATCTGAACAACTCAGGATTACAACTATTGCAAGGCTCCATCTTTATTCGCCGTACACGCACCTAATTGTATTTTGGTACCTTGTGGGGAGAGATTAGGCGATCTGGGAGGACACCACTTGTGAATGTACGCTTGTCATGTATATTGCAATTTAACAAGCTTGAGTCAAGTGGACATTTTTACGCACTGCTTATATTTGCATCTATAAACGTAGATTTGTTTTTAATGATTGCATAATATACATAAATATGTATTTACACACTTGTATAATTACATAAGTGAAAATGTAGCCTAGAGGATAATTCATGGTTCGATTCACCAATGAGTGAAGCCGTAAATATGGCTGAAATAGTGCGTGAGTTGGGTTTAACGCCTCTTTGAACAGTATCCCAGTCATATCACGGCGTGTCAGCTTCATGTGGGAGGAAAGCCAAGTTATGCAGGTCTCAAAAGTGTACCACTTTGGTGAAACACACGAGCATCTCCTATGGTGCTGATCACATATAGAGACATAATCGGGGTGAACCTGGATTCCAATCCATGACCATGGGTTTCTGGCGTGTCCAAGAGACGAAACTCTGCAATTGCGGCGCCGATCATGATCAGATGACTGGACTACCCGTGCCCCTATGGCTGATGTATTGCTAAGATTGGCGTGACACCGAACTCACTCACTCACTATAAATGACGATGTACAACCAGACAGAACCTTGCGTAGGTGTATAGAAATACGTCTTCATTTGTGTTCATTAATATCATGTACGCACTACCTTAAGTGAACATTAAAAATGAATAATTAAATCAACTGCATTAGCACTGCTGAGGATGCTGATGAATTGTTATGCTTTTGCTCTTAGGAAGGATGCTGATTTTATTAAATGTATTAACCACTTAAAGGTAATGTACTTCATTCAATAAATACTCAATTCATGTGGACAGGTGTTGTTCGGAGATACCCCCGGTGTCCTCATACCTCCGTTACTGCCGAGTTCTGTATGATGTCTGTAGAGTACACCCACTTGTCACATGCGACCGTCGTCATGTTGTCAGAGACCAGGTATATATGACACTTGTCATACACCTGGTCATCATCTGAGTCATCAAGCGGTATAGTGAGGTTGATGAGACGGGCATGATAGTCTGACTGAATTTCATAGGTATCGTTGTCATACCCCGGAATAGCGCACCTGGAAAATTAAGCGTGAGTACGATGACAAATACTATGAAACAGGGACCATATAACGAGATTTGCACTGTTCATTTTGTTCTTGAGTTTAATGTTGGCATGCGCAGTGTAAACTTTCTCCGTTGTCAGCTTGTCGTAACGAGGGCGAATCTAAGATCTCAACTCTTCGCCGTTAATTGCAACGCTTCAATGGCAGGGCCACTCGAGAGAACCTCATAGAAAATAATTTGTGTAACTAGGAGTGCATAATGTATCGCGTGCATCACGGAACAAGGATTGAATCATGGAACAAGGAAGGAATCTTGGAACAAGTATGGAATCTTGGAACAAGGAAGGAATCAGGGAACAAGGAGGGAATCAGGGAACAATGAGGGAATCATGGAACAAGGAAGGAATCAGGGAACAAGGAGGGAATCATGAAACACGGAGGGAATCATGCAGCAAGGAGGGAATTACTGAACACAGAAGGAATCAGGGAATAAGGCAGGAATCTTGGAACAAGGAGGGAATCATGTAACAAGGAGGGAATAATGGAACAAGGGGGGAATCATGGATCAATGAGGGAATCATGGACCAAGGAGGGAATTACTGAAAAAACAAGGGAATCATGAAACAATGAGGGAATCATGGAACACGGATGGAATCATGGAAAAATAAGGGAGTCGTGGGCCAAGGAAGGAGGGATTCAAGGAACAAGGAAGGAGGGAATCATGGAACAAGGAGTGAATCTTGGAACAAGGAGTGAATTTGGGAAAAATGAGGAAATCTTGGACGAAGGAGGGAATCACTGAACAACAAGGGAATCATGAAACCATGAGGGAATCATGGAACACGGAGGGAATCATGGAACAATAAGGGAGTCGTTGACAAAGGAAGGAGGGAATCAAGGAACAAAGGACGGAATCATGGAACAAGGAAGGAATCTTGGACGAAGGAGGGAATCTTGGAAAAATGAGGAAATCTTGTACCAAGGAGGGAATCAATGAACAACAAGGAAATCATGAAACAATGAGGGAATCATGGAACACGGAGGGAATCAGCGAACAATAAGGGAGTCGTGGACCAAGAAAGGAGGGAATCAAGGAACAAGAAAGGAGGGAATCAAGGAACAAGGAAGGAGGGAATCATGGAACAAGGAGGGAATCTTGGAACAAGGAGTGAATTTTGGAACAAGGAGGGAATCTTGGAACAAAGGAGGGAATCACGATACAATAAAGGGAATCATGAAACTAGGAGGAAATCATGGAACAAGAAGGGAATCATGGAACAAGAAGAAAATCATGGACGAAGAAGGGAATCATAGAACAATGAGGGAATCATGGAACAAGAAGAAAATCATGCAACAAGGAGGGAATCGTGGAAGAAGGAGGTAATTTATGGAATAATGTGGGAATCATGGAACAATGAGGGATTCTTGACTAAGGAGGGAATCATGGAACAAGGATGGAATCATGGAATAAGGATGGAATCATGGAACAATTAGGAATCATGGAACAAGGAGGGATTTTATGGAACAAGGAGGGAATCATGGAACAAGGAGAAAATCATGCAAAAAGGAAGGAATCTTGGAACAAGGAAAGAATCTTGGAACAAGGGAGAGAATTTTGGAACAAGGGAGAGAATCTTGGAACAAGGAGGGAATCTTGGAACAAGGAGAGATTCATGGAACAAGGAGGGAATCTTGGAACAAGGGAGGGATTCGTGGAACAAGGAGGGAATCGTGGAACTATGACGGAATCATTGAACATTGAGGGAATCTTGGAACAAGGAGGAATCTTCGAACAAGGAGGGAAACTTCGAGAAAGGAGGGAATTTATGGAACAAGGAGGGAATCATGGAACAAGGAGAAAATCAGGGAACAAGGAAGGAATCTTGGAACAAGTAAGGAATCTTGGAACAAGGAGGGAATCTTGGAACAAGAAACGAATCATGGAACAAGGAACGGATCATTGAACAAGGAGGGAATCTTGGAACAAGGAGGGAATTATGGAACAAGGAGGGAATTATGGAACAAGGGGGGAATCTTGGAACAAAGGAGGGAATCATGGAACAAGGAGGGAATCGTTGACCGAGGAGGGAATCTTGGAACAAGGAGAGATTCATGGAACAAGGAGGGAATCTTGGAACAAGGGGGGAATTAATGGAACAAGGAGGGAATCTCGGAACTATGAGAGAATCATTGAACATTGGGGGAATCTTGGAGCAAGGAGGAATCTTCGAACAAGGAGGGAATCTTCGAGCAAGGAGGGAATCTTCGAACACGGAGGGAATCATGGGACAAGGGGGGAATCGTGGTCCAAGGAGGGACTAGGGCAACAAGGAGGGAATCATGCAAGGGGAAGGAATTAGAACAAGGGGGGAATCGCGGAAGAGGGAGGAATCATTGCACAAGGGGAAATCATGGAACAAGGGGGGAATCGTGAACAAATGTGGGATCTAGATCAAGGGGGGAATCTTTTATCAAGGAGGGAATCATGCATTAAGGAGGTAATCATTGAACAACGAGGGAAACATGTACTCGAAGAAAGGAACATCATTTTAAAATGGTCTGGTATACATGTAATTGTTACTTAATAGATTAGTAATTTCGCTAAGGAAACAAATATCCACAATTTCCATTGATGCATTCTAGGTTTGTATTTGCCTACCTGTGTGCGGGTGTTTTTTGGATAAAAACGGATAAAACCATCCGAATTCCACACGAAATTGCGCTGAGACATAGCAGAAAATACACCAACTTCTGATATCGTCCAAATTCCCCCAGGTGCGACAAAATTTCATCAAATAGTCCCACCATGTTTACTGTCGCGATTCCACTGACTACATGTGGTACTTAAATACACATTCAGGTAAAGGTCACGTGATCCTTGACATCGTCCAACCTTTGCTGATACTAACGTCCTTGCGTCATTTGACATAACATCTTTGCTCAACAAATGATGAAGATTTCATTTATCTCGGCAACTAACATTTTTGTTATACTATTAATGTGGAATGGACCACAAAAACAATTTATCTGCATCACAAGCGATAAAAAGAAGTGAAGGAAATTTCCATTCTTAGAAAAACGTGTGAACATCACATTAATCTGCACGTGCACTGAAGAATGTGTCAAGATAAGCTTGCCTAGGTCGTGCGCATGTCGTGTGTACCAGGTACACATGCTATGTGACTATAGAGTGTCAGCCATCACAGTGTGGCCTATATAACTGCTACTGATTTAAGAGACCTGCTTCCATTGTCAAACGACAACCGATGGACTGATGTTTTTCTTCGGTGTGGCCTTCTCCAAGTTCTGTAGCAATACCTGATCTTGAACAGATTGTATTACTTGTTCCAGTTCATATCACCATAAGTACAAATATACATTTTTGTGCGAGTGTAAGAGAGAATGAATTTGCCAGCTATTTTACGGAGGCATGTCAAAAATTCAAATCTGTCCAGACACAACCGTGACAAAAGCAACAGTTATGAACGTATATACGTAATGAGTGCGTCAATTTTCGTTATATGAATACCGTTATAAATGCGTTGTGGGTGCGTTATAAGTGCGTCACTTTTCGTTATATGAATGCCGTTATGAATGCGTTGTGGGTGCGTTATGAGTGCGTTATGTTTGCGATCTTAACGCGAACGGGTATATAACATGTCGGAGAAAGATTGTACACACATACAATGCGTGCACGGGATAGTGCTAAAAGTTTATCTATTATCAACCAACTGGTTTGTGAAGAACTGTTTCCGAGTTCATTTGGGTCAGAAATATTCCATAAACAGCACAATGTTTTCAGATATATACACTTTACATGATAATGGATATTTTTTTAAACTGCCGGGCACTTGAAAATAGGGTCTAATAAAAAAACCTAAGGCAAAGTGGACAGAGTTGTCTCCCTGGTGTAGGCGGATTAGGCCACTCTACCCTAAATCTGCCTGCATATTGCATTGGCGATAAACAGCGCCCTACCCTATTTATTTATATATATACACACACACACACACACACACATATATAAAATAGGGTCTAATCCTATGACAGAATCACTCCAGAGTTAAATTTAAGGGGAATGATTTAATTATGCCCCACCGGCACTTCCGGCGTGTATATTCGAAACCATACATGTTTGTTTGTTTGTTTGTTTGTTTGTTGTTTAACGCCGCACTCAGCAATATTCCAGCTACATGACCGCGGTCTATAAATAATCGAGTAAGGGCCAGACAATTCAGTGATTGACATCATGAGCATCGTTCCATGCCATTGGGATCCATAACCTGCATCAACCAAGTCAGCGAGCCTGACCACCCGATCCCGTTAGTAGCCTTTTACGGCAATCATGGGTTGCTGAAGACCTATTCTACCCTGGATACATAACAGATGATGAACACGTGACACATAATTATGGATAACAACCGCTTAATTCTTTGTATCGACGATTCAGGGTCCCTCCCTTAGATGACCAGAATTGAGTTAAAATACTCATCGCCAAAAGAAATGCGAACCATAGAAACATATAGAGAAGTATGTACGTTATGAAGATATGTTTCTAATGTGTACAAATTAAAGTAGCATTAACAATCTGTCAAGTGTTGCCACAGAGTGTCTACATTCTTATCACGATATGTTGCACGTGATTTCCAGACTTTACACGCTAATCCTGCACGAGGCAAATGGTGCATCTCGAGTCATGTATCTATGACGTCACATGAGCATCGTTTCACACAACATACCAGTATGTTCGTTTGTGGATCGAACCAATCTAATATCTCTTAAATATGAGTCTTCATATATTAACCAACATGTATGTATTCGCGTATATATACATGTACATGCTGATATGTTTACATAAGGGTAACATCATTATGACCAGCCTGACCACGATATTTCCTGACAACATACCAAATTTACCCATACCAACATCAATCACTAGATAAAAGGAAACTTTTTTTAATAACAAAGAAGGAAGCCAGCAATTCAAACAGAACAATGTAAACTAAGAATTACAAAATGTCACTTGTATGTCATTTGAAATAATTTACTCTGCAAAAAAAGAAACGCAAAAGTGATTTTAGATTTTTTGTTAGACATCATTTAAATAATCAACAGACGATAATCGATTTTTTTTCAAAAGTAGCACACATCGTCATTGACCCAGGTTTCATATGGTACACATGGAACTGATGATTTATAAGGTGGAGGTGATCTGTATTCAATATGTTGTATGGGCACCATTAGAGTCCAAATCTGACTGGCATCGTCGTCCTATGGAAGCAATAAATCCCGAAATGTGACTCGTGGAATGTTCACCAACTCTGCCTCTCTGCGGGATCGGGTGATCAGGCTCTCTGACTTGGTTGATGCATGTCATCGTATCTCAACAATCAATAAAGCTCGTTCTTTGATGTTTCAGAAGACGGAAAGGACATATCACCACAGGCAGGTAGGTGTATTCGCAAAGTACAATGAAGAACGAAGCATGGTTTCTTTCATGATAAAACATCATCTATAACGTCGTCATTTCTGGAGATTCGAACATACCCTCGTAACAGGATGACGTCGTAGAAAAAAACTGTTGAGAGGTAAGTATCTGGTGAGCTGTTCCCCATAAATGTAGCTGTAATGTAAATGTAGCTGGGTAACGAATATTCGGGAAATACCAAACTAACCCCATGTTCATAAAATGAACTCGTCCAACATTGTCGAGGTCGGATTATATTCAGGGGTCATCATTATTTGCATATAATTGTTTTAAAGCTTGTACACTTGATTAACTTCATTAAAAAGGCTGTACATAGTTTTAATATCTCAATTAAAATGCAAAATTGGTCAACAAGTTCAGTATAAATTCTCCTAAATTAAAAGCAAAATCAGTGATTGTGTGTTGATCCAGGTACGGAAGCAGTACTGTTAAAGCATAAGAGTGTGAAGCAATGCATCATTTTATCCACTGGCTGAATAAATGATGACATCATATTACATGTATGTGATTTATTACTTATGTCAGATCTACATGTATATCATGCCCTGAATGATGTCAGTAAATGCTTTGATACTGGCTTTAAGCCCCCAAAACTATGGTACACATAGTCAAGACAGGTTTCATTGGTACCGGTTAATCATCACCCCTAGATAAACAGTTCACAAATAAATAGTGGAAAGTACACGTGTCTCCAGCTTTCATTCTCAGATATTACAATTCCTGTGCACTTTTAATGTTTTGTATTACCATCATGATAATACTGGGGTTCTGTTCCTATGCTTGATCAATAATGTAACTAAACTTCTTTTATTGAGTAGTTTATTTGTAGATAATTTCGTACGCAGATTTTTCATCTAACATGATGATTGTAATCATAACTATTTTTCAATAATAATGGTTTGCACACTTCTTTATGTTGTTTTGTTCAGTGTTCCCCAGTGGCATCATATAGAATACTCGTGGATGTGTATGCCAATGTACCAAATACATTTTAACAAGCACACACATAGTTCAGAAACACAAGATTGAAATTAATCCAATATTTTTCCAAAATTATTAGGTCTATTTATGATTAATTTCATTGTATAATAAGAAAGCAAAAGCCAAATAAATGGCTTTTCGTGTGAATAAAATACAGAGGCCAAATATCAAAACCAATGACAGACCCTATCATTAAACACCATTATTAGGGGTATTGTTCAATAATTTCGCAAAACCACCATTTCACAATGGGAGATAACGGGGAATAATCGGCGGCTTATGCTTCATCAAATTTGCTAAAATACAGATGCTAACGGTATTTTATTTACGTGGTCGTTTAATTCATTTCGTGACAAAAGTGAGCTGACACGAAATATTAACGCACTTATCACTGTTGAAAATGGTCTGTGTGTCATTGTTTACATTTCACCGATGTGACGACCACTGTCGTGTCTCGAAACAGATTAAATAATGTTTTCCTTCACTAAAAGTAACAATGGAGGTTATGATCGTGACGTATACATTGCATGAGCATTCATGAAAATGCTAGAAAAACTTTCAACCACCCGTTCTATCGTTTTCTATGTTTGTTCGTCTGGTGGAGGCGGCCATTGTGCAGTCATTGCCTGGGTCAGTGTAGCGCCAGCGCAGCATACCCGGGGAACAAGGCTGGGTTTTCATCTGCATGCCATCATAATCTTATAGCAAGTGAACAGCGAACACATGCCATGACTGACGGACGCATGTTCAGATGTGCTTTAAATTGCGTCTGAAGTATATTTAAGATATGATGAAATATACGTGAATCATTACGAAACGAGTTGACAATTCTTTTAGCTTTGCCACTTTGCGCTTAGACGGAACCCGGTCGAAAATATGGCCGCGAGAGGGGCATGAGTCGCTATTCGGCTTGTCCCGAAATAACACGAGTTGGTCACGAATGCAAGCACCATTACTAGACTGTGGAATCGTTATCAGACACAGATCCTCAATCCGGTCGACCACGTATCACTGCTAGAGCACAGCACAGATTCACACGGCTACGTTACTTACGTCAAGGAACTATCACAGCCACCTCTACAACTACGGCAATACCAGGATTGCGTACAAGGATATCAGCCCAGACAGTGAGGAAACCGTTTTCGCGCAGTTCGAGATGTCATTTTGACGGACCTGCATCGCTGGCTGCGACGTCAATGGTGTCAAGGTCACAACTGAGATGTCAAGACCACAACTGAGATGGAGTCACGTTTGATTTCGTGAAGAGTCACGTTTTATGCTTATGTTCATATATGGATTTTCCTTAAAATTAGAAGAGATTTCATATGAAAATGGTAAGGGTTTGGTCGCTTCAATTAACATTTACTCCATATAACTATTTCGTTCTAATCTTCATCGGGGCGGTCGGGTGGCCTCGTGGTTAAAGCGTTCGCTCGTCACGCCGAAGACCCGGGTTCGATTCCGACGTATGTACAATG